CCAGTCTAGGCATACAAATCCAATAGAATGTTATCTCCAACTAGTCATCAAAAAGCTGGAAGTAAGCCAGGTGCCAGTGACTCATGTCTGTAATCCTAGCTATACTCAGGAGGCTGAGATCTGAGGATCATGCTTCAAAGTCAGCCTGGGCAGGGAAGTCTATGAGACTCTTATTTCCAATAAACCACCAGAAAACCGGAAGTGGCACTGTATCTCAAGTGGTAGAGCGCTAGCCTTGAGCTGAAGAGCTGAAGGAGAGTACCCAGGGCCAGAGTTCAAGCCCCATGACAGACAACAAAAAGCTGGAAGCAGAGGTGTGGCTCAAATAGTAGAGCACCAGCCATGAGCAAAAAGGCTGAGTAAGAGCACCAGGTCCTGAGTTTATACTGGCAGAGTCACACAGAGACACAAAAGACATTCTTCACAGAACTGGAAAACAATCTTAGATGTATACAGAATCCTCTGTCAATCTCTCTGTCAACCTCTCTCAGTCTCTGTCTCAGTCTCTGTCTCTGGCTCTCTCTCTCTTTCAAACACATACATAAACAAACACACAAAATCACCAAAACCACTTTGAACAAGATGAGCCAAGCAAAAGGCATTATATTATTGGGCTTCAAAACATATTTTAATTATTTCAGATTGTATTTTGAAATCAGAGTATCACTGCATCACTGTGTATCTCATAGATTAATATGTAAATAATCGGTGGTAAAGTTACAACAAAATCATCTTTGAGAGTTTAAAGTTTCCCAAGGATATCAGTTTCTCTCAAAACTGAAAAATGTTTTTAAACTGAATTTCCAGTTTCACTTGATACACATTGTCAAAAGTACACTAATTCCTTTTGTATTTTTTTTTGGGGTCCAGTCGTGGGGCCTGAATGCTGGGCCTGGGCGCTGTCCCTCAGCTCTTCAGCTCAAGGCTAGCGCTCTACCACTTGAGCCACAGCGTCATTTCCGGCTTTTTTCTTTTTGCTTATGTGGTGCTGAAGAATCGAACCCAGGGCCTCAGGCATGCAAGGCAAGCGCTCTACCACTGAGCCACCTTCCCAGCCCTCATTTTGTATTTTTATATAACTTATTTCAATTTTTTTTAGTAGTTGTTCAAAAGTTTCAGTTCAACATGTCAGTTTAGGAGTACAATGAATCTTGATCCATTTCATCTGATCTCTAGTTTACATCATTCTCCCCATCCATTTTAACTCCACCTGTCCTCTTAAGTTACCTGATTCCATTTTCACAGTGATTTTTAAAATCATTCTAAGACTTAATCCAAAAGAATGCACTTAGGTGAGCTTTCAGTATTTATTTTTTCTATTTGAGATAAATTCTCCTATATAGCTAAGGCTGGCCTAGAATTCTCTTTTTGGTCCAGTCCTCTCGCCCAGCCTCCCAACTGCAAGGATTATAGAACATGACACCATATCTGCTGATTTTTAAGAACTTTTTTTTTGGTGGGGGGGTCCGGTCGTGGGGTCTGAACTCTAGGCCTGGGCGCTGTCCCTCAGCTCTTCAGCTCAAGGAAGGCTAGCACTCTACCACTTGAGCCACAGCGCCACTTCGGGCTTTTTTCTTTTTGCTTATGTGGTGCTGAGGAATCGAACCCAGGGCCTCAGGCATGCAAGGCAAGTGCTCTACCATTAACCACCTTCCCAGCCCCCCAGGAACTTCCTTTATTTTCTAAAGTCTCTTCTCTCCTCTAAGTATTTAGAAAACAGTAAAATTGGTTTTAACAAGGGAATTGTTGAGTTTTATTAAACTGCTTCTTTTAGTTTGTGATTAGTGATTAGTTTGTGATTAGTGATTGGTTTGTGATCTGTGATTAGTTTGTGATTTAGAAATGTGTTCTGATGTAGCAGGAAGTTACACCTAAAGTCATCACACTGTGCCCCAGCTCATTATATTATATTAGTTAGTTAGTTACTTATTGCTGGTCCTGGGCCTTGAATTTGGCCTAGATGCTGTCCCCTGTGCTCCTTTTGCTCAAGGCCAGTGATCTACCACTTAAGCTACAGTAGCATTTCTAGCTATTTCTGTGATTAACTGGAGATAAGAGTTTTATGAACTTTCCTGCTTAAGTTGTCTTCAAACCATGATCCTCAGACCTCAGCCTCCTGCTGGGATTACAGTGTGAGCCACTTGTCCACTTCATTATTATTCTGTGTTATATACATTTGCTTGTTTTCTTAAGAGATAAAAAGAAAAACAGAGGGTTGAGAATGTGACTTAGTGGTAGAATGCTTGCCTAGCTTGCATGAAGCCCCGGGTTTGATTCCTCAGTACCACAAAAACAGAAAAAACTGGAAGTGGTGCGTGTGGCTCAAGTGGTAGAGAATTAGCTTTGAGCAAAAGCAGCTCAGAGACAGCGCCCAGACCCTGAGTTCAAGCCCCAGGACTGGCAGAAAAAAAGAAAAAGAGAAATAAGAGAGAGATACACATATGTGTAGCTATACATATAACACACACACATACATATAACACAATCCCACACTTACAAGTATGTTTAAAGAGGTCCTGAAAGTTACAATTCTTTTGAGTGTATAATACTAAGGACTTTCAACTTGTACTTGAAAATTGCCAAACTTTAATTTTCAGTAAAGTCAATATTATTCACTGACACTTAAAAATGCTAACCCATAAACACATTTTCAGTAATGTCACACAAGAAGACACTTTATTCTAAAAGACACATCACCACAGACACTTTGCTGAAGAATCATGTGTGATTGCTCTTTTCCAAAAGAAGAACACAGCAGCAGATCTTACAGAATATTTCATGAAGAGACTTGCGATTTGTTGCCGTGACCTTCACATTTTCTGCAGTCCTACAAGTTCAAACCAAGAACAGTCAATCAGTCAAGGAGTTTCTCATAAAAACCAGTATACAGATTTTCACAAGTGTATAGTGAAGTAGAAAAATATATAGCAAGGGAGGAATATCCCCTAGTTCCATTTTCTTCTCCAACTGTCACCCTAATTGATTCACTCTACCATACAAAGACATTTATTAAGGAAAGTAAGAAAGGACTTGTGAAAATATAAAAGGACACTTTCTCCCAGAAAATGAGGAAGCATCATATAATTGTTGTATGTGTGCATGTATGTATATGTGCTGTGTGGGCATGGTGATGTATGCTTCTATCATCTACTCAGGAGATAGAGGCACGAAGATCACAAGTTCTACAACAGCCCAGGCAAAGTTACCAAGACCCTATCCAAAAGCAAAATACAGCCAGGTATCAAGGCTCACACCTGTAATCTCAGTTACTTGGGAGTCAGAAAAGAGGAGGGTTTTAGTTCAGAGCTATGCAAAAAGTTAAAAACATGCAGTCTCAGTCAATAAAGCAAGTGCAGTGGCATGTGTTCACTCCATCTATGAGGGAGCAATAAATGAGAAAACCATAGTTCAAGGCCCAGCCTTGGAAAAATGCTAGACTCCACCTGATAAATAGCTAAAGTGATAGGTGGCTAGGGATGTGGTTCAAGGTAGAAGCTACCACGACCTACTTAACAGGCTCGATGCCTTGGGTTTAGTTCCCAGAACAAAATCCTTTTTGGTTACACAGCAATCATATTTTTATCCAATCTTGGAAGACATAAGTTGCATAAGTGTATAATTTTGTGTGTAAAAGAAAAAATTTACCTGAAGAAAAATTCGATATTGCTAACACATTCTACACTCCAATAGAGTGGTTTAGTTTTCACATGAAAGAATTATGACTCATAGTAAAATAAAGTGCGAAGTACAAAAATGAATATCAGTTCAGGTGATTATGTTTTCTTCATCAGTAAAATTCAGATGAGGATAAAAATATAGAGGAATAAGATAATATTGAATTTTACATCTGCTAAAAATAAAAGAAGCAGGAATCCATGTGCAGCAAAATTGTCAACTGGCCAGAGAAATTTTCTGGAGAAACTTCGCCATATCAAATCATTAATAAATAAAATGTTAAGTTTTCAAAGGTTCTAAATAGACGTTTTTTAAAAGTTAACCCTTCTAACTATTTGAGCCACACCCCTTTATAATAGCATCCCTGAAAAAAATGGATGGGACTTATTTAAATTTTCATTATATGAACTGGACAAGAAAATCTAATTTTACTTTGAAAAATTATTGAGGAACAAATATAAAGAGCCCAAATAAAAGGTAACAACAAATACACTAAGAAACCCAATTACCTCTACATAGCACACACTCAATAATGAGTAGGACACCTCTGTACTTAGAATTACCCTATGTAGACATTCCACTTGGACCTTCTTTTACAAAGAATTATCTTTCTATTAGGAATACTAGATTGTGTATCCCATAATATCTTTAATTAATTTTAAACACTAGGACATATTACTACATTGTCAAAACATAATAGATCATGTGGCATTCCACTAAGCATATTCATTTGTTAAACATGTAACTATTACTAACGCTATTTTAAAAGCTGTAAATATAATATTCTATTTGATAGAGTGAAAATGTGACTCAAGGGAGAACTCAAACAGTATAATTCCTTAGAAAGGCAAAGTTCAGCAAAATAAACAAATAGCAGGAAGTAGGTACTTGGAAGAGGTGGAGTGTGGTCAAGGAGAGCCAGGTAGACGAATAAAGAAGAGGAGAGGGTGATAATGCAGTCAAGAATACAATGTACATACTACAAAATCAAGAAGAGGGAGGCAAGGGGAGGGTTGGAGAGGGAAGGGTGAAAGAAGACATAGAGATGTAACTTTACAACTTTGGTGGGAGGGGGGGAGGAGGATAGGATGGGAATCGGAAACAAAGGAGGAGGCTACAATGCTTGATAAGAAATGTACTCATTATCTTGCCCATGTCATTGCAACCCCTCTGTACAGTATTTTCACTATAAAATTTTTTTTAAATAAAAAAAGATGTATTGTATTCACAAACTGCTTTGTTAAGTGGCAACCCCTTTGTACAACTACATAAAGATAATAAAAGAAGAAAATGGGAAGTTCTTACTTAATGAATCCAGTTATATATTAATTCTTTTCTTTCTTTTTTGATTTCATGGTTACAGGCAGGTCATCTATGCTTTCCTTTTTAAAACGTTTCATTAGGTGAAGTCCAATACCAGCGAGTAAGATGGTATATAATTTGCAGGAAAAACCTGAATTTGAAAACATGCAGTGATCTTGCTGTAAATTTAGTTTCAATGAAAGTATTCATAAAAAGAACATCATTTACTAAGCAAAAGAAACATTATTCATCTCTGCGGGTATAAATTCCTTAGTTATAAAATATAATTGATGTTACAAACGTATTTAAAATTACTTAAAGGAAAATAAAAATGTTTATAAGCATTTACAGCGTGTGAATTCTAAAACATAAAAGTAAGTTGTCCTTGCTGGGCTCCAGTTGCTCACGCTTATAATCCTAGTTATTAAGGAGGTTGAAGTCTGACGATCACAATTGAAAGCCACCAGGGTAGAAGAATCTACAACACTTATCTCCAATTAAATACCAAGAAGTGGTAGAATTTTACTCCTAAAGAAAAACAAAACAAACAAACAAACACAGACACAGTACCCAGACCTTGATTTCAAGGCTGGTGTGCACGCTCTAACACACACATACACACACACAAGCACACAAAGTAAACTATCCCTTCAAAATGGGATCTGTGGCCTGTTTAAAGCAGAACTCGAAAAATAAGGAAACAGAGTGGGTATAAGGGAGGAGTGAAGATGTTGAAGATATGACACAGATCTAGCTGCGCTGTATTCATAAATTGCCTCGTTAAGTGGCAAAAAACATCAATACATAACATAAAAATTAAGAAGAGGGAAGGGAAGGAGTGGAGTGGGAGGGTCAATTGAGAATGTTAAAAGGGGCAACATAGATCAAGAAGCACTGTATTCATAAACTGCTCTGTTGAATGACAACTCCTTTGTACAACTACCTAAAGGAAATCAAGATGTATTTAAAAAAATAAGCTGACATGTTAAATTAAAAACCTTCATGCAGCTTCAATTTTTAAATGTTTCTTATTTCTCAAAGACAAATATAAAAAATTATGTTAAGTGAAGTAAGCCAGACCCCAAAAAAAAACTTAGGTCCCATGGTTTCCCTTATCTGCAATAACTAGTATATGTCCAGGACAAGCGGAAGAGGTCAAAAGCTATGTCATATGACAATATAAGCTGATGCTAAGCAAAATGAATCCCAAGATAGGGACACAAGAGATTTTTTTTTTTTTGGGTCTGGTCGTGGGGCCTGAACTCTGGGCCTGAGCGCTGTCCCTCAGCTCTTCAGCTCAAGGCTAGCGCTCTACCACTTAAGCCACAGCACCACTTCTGGCTTTTTTCTTTTTGCTTATGTGGTGCTGAGGAATAGAACCCAGCACCTCAGGCATGCAAGGCAAGCGCTCTACCACTGAGTCAACTTCCCAGCCCGACACAAGAGATTTTATCTTTCTTGATGTTCTTGTTAATGTACTTATAATATACTGTGTGATTTTTTTTTTGTTGCATGTTCTTCCCCCATGCTATAACCCCTGTTGTCACTGTATTTGATTTCGGTGTCCTGCATCATCTATCTATCTATCTATCTATCTATCTATCTATCTATCTATCTATCTATCTATCTATCTATCTATGTTTCTAATTTGGTTATGGGAAGGGAAATAACAAACTGCTGATATAAGGACCCATTGTAACAATGGGATGTACAAGACACTATGTTGAAAATGACCTTTACACCCCTGGGGTAGGGAGAGGAGTTGGGGAGTTGGGAGGGAAGGGATGGTAGGGGAAAAACAAAGGAGAAGATAACAATGCTCCATAGGAAATGGACTCATTACCTTGCTCATGTAACTGTAACCCCTCTCTACAGTATCTTTACAATAAAATATATACTAAAAAGATAAATAGAGAAAATCGAATTGCTTTGTAGTTATTTACTTTCATTTTATATTTCAAATTTCAGAGCATTAATTCAAACATTATATAAAAGTATTTAAACTGAAGATGTGAACACCCCTGATAATTAAAGGGAACAATACGGTAGAGCAATTATCTGACATAGAGATTAAATAGGGAACATTAAGGATTCTCTGCCCTTCATGACTAAAATATTTTATATATTTTGTGACATAATTATATCTGATACAGTTACAATAATGATATTGCAAAGTAGTAAATTATTGCAGTGAATTCTCTAAGAAATCTAGTTTTTGAGGAAAAGTTGAGCAGTTGTGAATTAAGAAGTCAGTAGATCTTCCATGAAAAAAAAACTAGAAGCAGGCAAAATATATGAGAGTATTAAGAAGAGCCAAAAAACACAGCAAACGGTTCCTTTTAAACCTTGTTGTCCCAGTGTAACACTGAGATATACAAAACAGTATGTTGAAAACAAACTTTACAACTTTGCTGGCTGGGGAGGGAGAAGGGAGGAAAGAGTTGGGGAGGTGGGGAGGAAAGGGATGGTAGGGGACAAATAAAGGAGGGTGTAACAATGCTGGACAGGAAATGGACTCATTACCTTGGCTCATGTAACTGTAATCCCTCTGTACAGTATCTTTAATAAAATATGTATATTAAGAACAAAAAAATTAAAAAAAACCTTGTTGTCTGTGTCTTCTAGGTTTGCAGGTAAACAAAATGTAAGAGTGATGAGATATGGCTTTTCAAAGAAAAACACTAGTGGCTAGCTGGAATCTGCTTTGAAGACCCCTATGGAGCAATGACAAGGAGAGTGGTAGGGACACTGGAAAGGTAGCACACTCAGCAACACACACCATCATCAAGGAAAGCTGTGGGCATTGCCAAAGAATCGCCGTGTAACCTGTGATCAGCCAATGCATAGGGGCAGGACTATCTGTGGCACTGAGGTGGGAGTCAACTCTTCAACACAGTAGTTACACTATTCTAGGCTTGAAGCTGTAAAGTTTGTCTGCCTTGCTGGTCAGGACCCATTACTAGCCTGTGCTTCCTAAGTTCTCTTTTGAAATAGGAATATTAGTCCTATTCCTATCTGAATATTGTAAATTGGAGCCATATAATGTTTTGATAAGCACTTGTGAATGAGTATGGGAAGAGACTGTGGACTTGGACTTTGGTGTGATACTGAAATGAGTTAAGAGTTTTGAACGAGGCGATGGAATAATCACATTTTACATTGTGAGACCAACGTGAGCCTTGGGGGTCCAGGTGTGCTGGATGTAGTTCATTCACTCAAGGGCTTGTTGGTTGAAGGCCTGATCCTGGAGATCTGTGAAGGGATGAATGCTAAGCATCCTCTGTCATTTTGATGACATCCTTCAGCCTCTGGAATGCTCAAGACTCCAAATGTGTATCTGCACTTAGCATTTCAAGTGACTCTGATTTACACAGCTCATCTCCAGAGTTTGTATATATGTCTCCAGAAAGCTATGTATTGGAAACATTTCATTTTAATAGTATTTGAGACCGAGCCTAATAAGGGGTGGCTGTGCTCAACCAATTCACAGAGGCTCAATCTTCACAAGTCAACTACTGCCATCATCATGGAAGTAGGTTGGTTATCACAAAGGTAGATTGATGAGTCCCAGCTCCCTTCTGTCTGCCTCATCACTTTCTCCCTCTCTTCTTTAAGCCTGAATCATTATTAAATTCCCCACCATGTTAATAATACATTAAGAAAGTCTATACTAGGCGTTATCTGTATTTCTTTTGCCTGTCCTGGGGCTTGAACTCATGGCTTGGGTGTTGTCCCTGAGCTTCTTTGTGCTCAAGGCTAGCACTCTACCGCTTGAGTCACCATAGCACTTCTGGCTTTTTTTGAGTAGTTTGTTGGAGATAAGAGTCTCAAAGACTTTCTTTCCTGGGCTGGCTTCGAACCAAGATCCTCAGCCTCCACGAGTGGCTAGGATTACAGGTGTAAACCACTGGTGTGCCTAGCTTTAAATTTAATTTCAAGTTTCCAGAAAGATCTAGTGAATTTTCCAGAGAAATATAAACACCGCTAGACTTTCCCTACATTTTGACCCTAGCAGCTACCACCACAATGAGCTTCCAGGCTCATTGTATATTTTATCTATTCAACAAATACTAAATGTTTACTATATTCTAGGTACTACCAAAGAAGGGGGAAAAAGACAGAGAAAAAACATAAAATTTAGACTTGACTTAGATAACAGTATTTTGGTGATTTTTGATGTTATCAATTCCTCCATTTTTTAAATCTTTTAAACTGGAAAGGCTCCTAAAGGTAAGCACTTGATTGTATATATGTACAAAGAAAATTACTTACTCAATTGAAATTGCAAATGCTCTGATTGCTATGTTTTCTCAGGAATACCATAGAATTACAATATATTTAATACAATATTAAATAATACAAAGTTTCCATGAATTACACAGTACTTATTTGTAAAATAGTTTTCTATAAGGCCAGATGATAAACCTCTTTTAATTTTCAAAGTACCTATTTGTGAAAATTACAGTTATTATTATTTTTTGTTGTTGTTGGTCATGGAGCTTGAACTCTGGGCCTGGGCGCTGTCCCTAAGCTCTTCAGCTCAAGGCAAGTGCTCTACCACTTGAGCCATACAGTACCACTTCTGGTTTTCTGGTGCTTAATTAGAGATAACAGTCTCATGGACTTTCCTGACCTGGCTTTGAACTTTGATTCCAGATGTCAGCCTCCAGAGTAGATAGGATTACAGGAGTGAGCCACTGGCATCCGGCTTGAAAACTACAAATTTAGCCGGTCGCTGGTGGCTCACGCCTGTAATCGTAGCTCCAATAAACCACCAGAAAACCAGAAGTGGCGCTGTGGCTCAAGTTATAGAGCGCTCACCTTGAGCTGAAGAGCTGAGGGACAGCGCCCAGAGTTCAAGCCCCACGACCGACCAAAAAAAAAAAAAAAAAAGAAAACTACAAATTTAAAAACCATTTTACTTCTCTAAGTTTCTATAATGTGTGTCACTTACATATTCCCACCCATATGGAGGCCATTTTCATCTTGTTATAGATCCAACAACGTCCTTTGCGTCCACATATATTAGCGTCTCGAAAAGTACATGAACTTCGTATTGTCCATTCAAAGATTAAGGGTCCAGGAATGGTCCCTGTAATATTCAATCACTGTTTCCCATGAAAATACTAGAAATTTTCTCTTAAAACATCAGTGTACAGACATCACTTAAAATTATCTAGTAATTTATATATAGCTATTATAATTAACTCCTGGGAGCAATATTACGTTTTCTAAAAATCCTTATGTCTCCATGTATCAAAATAGTTGCAAACAAATGTTTTGTTTTTTTTTTTTCTTTTTAGAATTTTGTGATGGCATTTTCTATAAAACATTTCAAAATATATTTTTATTTTGCATGGAATATATGGGATAAATATTTATAACAATTACTATTTTGTAAAGATAATTGTGGTGTTTTTCAATGATAAAGAAATGAGTTGGCAACCTACATCTTTTGTTTATCAAGATACTATGAAAGATAACTGAAAGCACAAAGCCTTTCATATGTTCCGGTCATCCTAAAATTTATATGGCATAAAATCTCAAGAAGCAGCTGTGTAGCTTGAGGAAAATCCTACATACTCTCAGAGACTACATCTCCCCAGCAACAGGGCTACTTCCAGCTGAAGGTGAGTGGACAGTTACACAGAATCATCCCCAAAATGCTAGAAACTGGATTCTCGCCTTGTGACTCTTGATATTTGTCAGTGGTCATTATCTACTTTTTTTTTTTTTTTAAATCGTTGCTCAAACGGAAAACCCTAAACCTACTATTTACTACATCTATTTCTTTTTTTGTTTTTTATATGTTTTTTATTGTAAAAGTACTGTACACAGGGGTTACAGTATCATGAGTAAAGTAATAAATACATTTCCTATCGAGCATTGTTACCTCCTCCTTTGTTTTTCCCCTACTTACATCTATTCCTTATCACTGTTTTCCAATCCACCACAAAGTTTGCATCATGAATTCTAAAGGTATCTTGAATATGTTGATTTTTCTTTCTCCACTAAAACCTCCAGATTCCAATTCAGAATATCTCTTTACACTTAAGCAAAAACCCTCATTTCTTTTCCTCCACATGTTGAATAATATTTTTGCCATCAGTTATCATTTAAAAATAAAATATTTCTCCTTGCTTAAAATTCTTTAGTGATAAAGCACCATATTAACTATAGTCTGTATCTATAATGCCACCTTATTATAGCCTCTTTCAGGCAAAAATTCATTAGCCTTAATGGGCCTTTTTGTGGCAGGGAATTTGCTGTTTTTTATGCTACTTCTTTTTTTTTTTTTCTTTGGGTCCGGTCATGGGGCTTGAACTCTGGGCCTGGGCGCTGTCCCTCAGCTCTTCAGCTCAAGGCTAGCACTCTACCACTTGAGCCACAGTGCCACTTCCGGCTTTTTTCTTATGTGGTGCTGAGGAATCGAACCCAGGGCCTCAGGCATGCAAGGCAAGCACTCTACCACTAAGCCACCTTCCCAGCCCCTCTATGCTACCTCTTAACAAACCTCTCCTTATCCTTCTCTGATCTTCATCAAAGCCAGATGTATTTCTCTACATTCCCTTATTACTTGCATTTCAGTCTGTAATCCAATCCAGTCTCGTTCAATCCGATCTAGTTTTTCTTACTGCAGAGGTGTGTGTGTGTGTATGTTTTGTTGTTGGTGGTGGTGGTGGTGTTAGTTGTGAGGCCTGAACTCTGGGCCTAGGCACTGTCCCTGAGCTATTCAGCTCATGGCTAGCGCTCTACCACTTGAGCAACAGTGCCACTTCTGGCTTTTTCTGCTTATGTGGTGCTGAGGAATTGAACCCAGGGCCTCATGCATGCAAGGCAAACACTCTACCACTGAGCCACTTTCCCAGCCCCTGCAGAGATATTTTTAAAGCATTGCTTGAACTGAACGTTTTAATTATAATGCAGATTTGAAATACAGATTTTTTTTTTTTGGCTACTTAAGGTGTGAAGAGTCCATTACCTTTAGGAAATGTGTTCTTGGGAATAAATACATTAGTGAACACGTCTGATTCAGTATCTTTGGTGATTAAAATATTTTTAAAAACTAGTCTTATTTAATGACTTACTAAACATGTAAAAAAAAGTAAAGTGGTTTTGATTATACAAATGTTTTGTATTGGCTATTAAAACAACTCATATGAGATGATGAATATATTTCAGGTTAAATGCATTGCATATCTCATCCAATATAATTTATTGTCTCTCTTTTTGGACAGCCAGGGCTTGAACTCAGGGCTTGGCCATTGTTTCATTGTTTTTTTTTACTCAAGGTTAGTGCTTTCATTTGAACTCCACTTCTGGCTGTTTGCTTGTTAATTGGAGAAGAGTCTTACAAGCTTTCTTGGCCAAGCTAGCTTTGAACCATACTCCTCAGATCTCAGCCTTCTGCATAGTTAAGATTACAGGCATGAGTTAGTTAGTAGTACCTAGTCAATTATTTCTTCACAAAGACTGCTTCCTAAATTTTTTCAAATAAGTCTTCTATTCATTTCTTCTATCATAATACATTGCAATTTATTACAAAATTCTAAAATCTTTAAGCATACATACATATAAGAAAAGAAACATTTGATCTAATGAAAATTGCTACAAATTCATACCAAGTAGTCTCACAATCACATAGGAAAAGCCCAAGGCCAGAGAATGGAGTCTGCTAGGTACAATCCTGAAAACAAACAGCAATGGTATTACTAGCTATACATAATGTATGCTGATTTAAAGCTTTGGTTTTTTTCTTATGTATCAGTTGTACTAACAGTTCAATTAGAAGATTTCAACTCCTTTCATTTCCCATTTTCTGCTTATTGCCAACCAATATCTTTCTTTTTTTTTTCATGAGAGAATGTGTATGTTTTGGTCCTGAGGCTTGAACTCATGGCCTTGGAGAAGTCCCTGAGCTCCTGTTGCCCAAGGCTGTGCTCTACCTGTGTGTGTGTGTGTGTGTGTGTGTGTGTGTGTGTATGTATGTTTAATTGGAGATAAGAGTGTCTCACAGACTTTGCTTCTCAGGTTGACTTTTCAATTGCAATCCTCAGATCTCAGAGTAGCTGGGATTACAGGCATAAGTCACTAGCACCTGGCTGAAAGAGAGGATTTTGTGAGCCAAATCTACTATCCCAGCCTCCTTTCTCTGCTGATATAAGCTCTCAATTTTCATACCAGATTGGCTGCATTGCACTTTGGCATTCCTTGCATCCTGCCCATATCTGAAATAGTCACTTCATTCAACTTTGCTTAACTTGTCTCAATTTTCATGCATTCCTCCCTTTCCTTGTGTACCTTTGGTTATTATATTCTCTACTCAAAAGCTAAAATAAATTAGCAATAATCTTCCTCAATAATGAGTAATATAGTAATTGACATAGATGTGCATGTGTCTTTACGATTTATATTTATTTTTTTTAATTGTTGTTTAAAATGAGTATTTCTGGGATCTTGTCTCCAATGATATTCTTTCCTTTCTACACAATCTAATCCATTGATGAAAATTTCTACTTCTTTTTTATTTATTGACTTTTCATTTCTTTCTTTCCACAGAGGAATAAAAGCATGTGGGGAGTACTGCCACCCATTACTAAGACTAAAGATCTCCCAGGCTGGATTTCTCCTAGCACTGACAGCCTACTGCTAGTGTTGATTTAGCATGGAATAGTACCATACAATAGTTTCTTTGGCCCTCTGAAAGGGTACAAAGCAATCAAATAAAAGCAGCTTGCATTGGCTGGGTAAAGCACCTAAACTCTGATTGATCTTGAGAGCCCTAGCCTCACACTTCCCTGTTTAGGAAACTTGATTCATATTCACAAACATCTGAGCTTTCTTACCAGAGTTCATAGTTTGTGATACAGCTCCAGTGCTTTGTTTCTTGTTGCTTTTACTCTGGGGTACACTGCCAGGTTCTACAATGATTCTCAGGGGGCTCACTTGCTTAGCCAGTAGAAAGGTAGCATGGGTCTTCTCTTCTCCCCAGCTAGGAGTTTGAGTACAACTTCTCCTCTGTGCTAATAGACACATTAGAAAGTTCTGGGAGGCCTTTCGCTGAGTTTGTTTACTGCACATGATATAGATTTCCTATTTTAAAACTTATTTTTGTAGAGTGCCAGCTGGTGAGTGCCTGTGGGTCTTCCTGAGGTTTGCCTTTTTTCTCTTGTTTGAAGCCCTGCTCAGAAAGTCCCTTTGTGGCCTACTGTTTTGCTCCGAGCTCTATGTTACATTGTTCCTTTTGCAAATATAAGTTTAATATTTCTGGTTTTAATTTGATTTTTTAAATTTCATTTTTTTAATATTTATCATTGCCTTCTCTTGCCTTTTTGTGTCCCTTGTCTCTCTCTGAGCCATGATCCAGATGGTTTGTGCTAGGTGTTCCTAATCTACCATTTAAAAACTCTCATTAGTTTACTCTTTGCAATGGTTCACAAATGTGTACACAGGTAACAGTATTCATATTAACATGGTAAAATAAAGATTAACATGGGCAAGGACTTAACTAGCTCAAATCTCCTATTTACCCATCATGCTGTACCTATCTGAAAAATCCTTATCAAAGTATTTTAATCATTTTTTGCTTTCCTTTCATTCATAATTTTTCCTGTGAATGAAGATATTGTCCCTTGTCTGGTTGGCCTGTGAAAAACCATCTATCTTCACAAGGAAGATATGGTAGTACCAGATCAGGTTATGTTTTGCCCCCTACTTTGTTACCTGGCTATTTTCTCCAGGATATTTATGGCTCAAAATTTCTTGTTAACCTCTTGAGAAAATTAAATTTCAAAATAATGACCAATGGTTCTATGGATAAGAAAAAAAATAATGCTGTGAATCTTCAGGAAGAATTCATGAAAAATGCTGGCTGGGCCAGACACCAGTGGCTGATGCCTGTAATCCTAGCTACTCAGGAGGCTGAGATCTGAGGATCAGCCTAAACAGTAAAGTATGTGAAACTACGTATCTCCAAGTAAGCACCAGAAAACCAGAAATAGCACTTTGGCTCAAGTAGTAGAGTGCTTGCCTTCAGCTGAAGAGCTGAGGGACAGTGCCCAGAGAATTAAGTATAAATTCTGACAATATTAACTTTTTCTTTTGTATCTGCTACCAGGAAAGATAGAGAAAATTTTCAATAATATAGTATAATCTAAAAACTTGCCCTTTTGTCCTAAGTGAATGATAATTGTAAATATTGTATACCTACCGGAAAATTACCAGATTGAGTGGTATAGAAGAAAAACAGGAAAAAATAATTGCAGAAAAGATAAAAGCAAAAAACAACGGTAATTTATAACACTTGGTGTCACATTTTCCAGGCAGGGCATCAATAAAATCACCTTCTATATCAGAGTTTAACAATCCATTTTTAATGCAGCTGCAATTATAGTATGCCTATTAATGTCAAGATAGAAAACAATGTGTCAGAAAGTCATGAATCAAAAACTCTTCATTAAAAAATAAAAACTTAATCAGTAATTGTAGGCAGACTGATGTATTAATAAAAATACCCTCACACTAACTCTGATGTTTATTATTTAGAAGTGAAACATTAATGATAAACTCAAGTTATTATTATTATTATTATTATTATTATTTTACTATTGTCAGTCATGGGGCTTGGACTCTGGGCCTGGGCACTGTCCCTCAGCTCTTCAGCTCAAAGCTAGTGTTCTACCACTTGAGACACAGCACCACTTCTGGTTTTCTGGTAGTTTATTGGAGATAACAGTCTCACAGCCTTTCTTGCTCAGGAAGTCTTTGAAGCATAAGCCTCAGCTTTTAATCTCCTGAGTAGGTAGGATTACAGGCGTGAGCCACCAATACCTGGCAAACTCAAGTTATTTTACCCAGGGATGTGTGTGTGTGTGTGTGTGTGTAATAACTATTATGTAAAGTTCTGCTGACAAAAAATCCTCAAATATTCATACTTTTTTCATAATGATCCATAGTATGTAAATTGGGGGCAATTAATGTAAAAAATAACAGACAATTTTAGTTGGTATTTAAAATACAATTATATAAGTGTGAAACGTATTGGAACTAAGTTGAAAGGATAATACCTTTGATTTATAATGTAATGATGTCATGATTATTATTTATTAAACCCAGCAGATATAGTGTCTGGGTCACAAAATGCTTGTAGAACCATGTAAAATGATTTCATATTAGTTACTTTTTATAGTTATATTTTATTAGCATTAATTCGTTGACAAGAGGTTTCATTTAGACATGCCCATATATGCATTTAATGAATCTTGATCAGACTCATCTCTCTCCCCATTCTTCCTCATCTTTCCTAAACCAATATCAACAAATGTCGCCAGGTGCCGGTAGCTCACGCCTGTAATCCTAGCTACTCAGGAGACTGAGATCTGTGGATCACAGTTCAAAGCCATCCAGGGCAGGAAAGACTGTGAGACTCTTACCTCCAATAAATCACTCAGAAAACTGGAAGTGGCACTGTGGCTCAAGTGGTACTTGCTTTGAGCTGAAGAGCTGAGGGACAGTGCCCACGTCCAGAGTTTAAGCCCCACGATGGACAAAAAAAAAATTGTCTCTGACCCACTTTCCAGGTACATAAACTATTTCAACAATATTTCTCCTTCTTTGTTCTCTCTGCTTCCACTAGTAATCCAGTACAGATGGGATCTGTCTTTTATTCCTGTCCCTCATTTTTCTTTCAGTGTATGTTAATTGTTAAATAGGGTTTCGCTATGGTATATTTCATGGGCAGGTATATAACATTGAAATCAGGTTGACCTCTCATTATTTCCCCAGCACCACTTTTCCCATTATTCAACAGGTTTCAGTGAGTAGTTTCTTTTTACAATTCTTCATTTATCATATGCAATATATTTTGGTATTGTTCATAGTTTAACATTCTCTTCCCTCTTCAGTTCCTTCAAATAGTCCCTCAATTATAACATATAACATGTTTGTAATTTTAGCAATTTGAGGAAGGGGCAGTATAGGAGTTTGAACTGGGATCCTTCCATTTCCTAGGCAGGTGCTCTTCCACTTATGCCAAGACTCCAACACTAATTTTAGTGAGTCTCAAAAATAAATAATAATTTAAATATTATTATATTCATATTATTAAGCAAAACAATATATAAAACTTGCATAGATATGTTAATTTACATAACAATACATTTAATTTATTTTTTAAATGAAGAAAGGGTAACACAAAAATAAAAAGTTTATGGAGGGTCAGTGAAAGTCTCAACATGGACATGAATAGAAGAATAATTAAAACCTGAATCTTTATTATGTTATTTCAGGGTTAATACTGCAAGAAAAATGAAGCAGTACAATTTTTCTAAGACCTAAAAAATGATTAGAGTCCAGAAATTATTTAGAAATTTGTTAACTACCAAAACTACCCTAAATAATGAACAATAAGAAAAGCAACAAATTGAACAGGAATATAGAGATAGACTACTAATAAAGAAATAAGAGATAAAAGGTGAATAGAATCCAAATGATTAACAAAGTAAAATTTCATAAGCATTGTTGAGGAAGTTCTTATTACTGGGTATGTTGAATAACAGAAATATGAAACTATCCAAATTAAAGTTCATTGAGAAGAGAAACCAGAGTTTACCATAGCCACATTATGGAATCAATTCAAATGCCTTTCAGTGGATGAATGGATCAAGAAAATGTGATATATGTACATATACACAATAGAATTCTATGCTTCCATCAGAAAGAATGACACTGCCCTAATGATAAGGAAATGGAAAGACTTGAAAAAATTATACTAAGCTAGACCTAAAGACACATAGGCCACATGGTTTCCCTTATTTGTAATAATTAGAATGTGCCTATAAATCTACAAGTAAACCCAATGGATAGCAAATGACAAATAATTATACCTGGACATGATTAACTATACAGCTTAAACATTTACACAATGAGAACACAGGAGGACTATAGGAGAGGATCACAAGGGCTCAATAGCTATGTGCATATGATCATATAAAATAATGCTTATCAAAATGAACTCCAAGTAATTGAAGCAAGAAGTTTTTTTTATTGTACTGTTCATGGTTCTCTTTTTTCTCCTTTTTTTCTTTGATTTATTCCCTCTGTTGCTGTTTTTTTTTTTTAAATTTTGTACTCTGTCTTGTATATAAGTTTATCTGATTTGGGGAGGGGAAAAGGAAGTACAGAAATGGTGGGACAAAGAGTGAACCAATTCAGCAGAGATAGTCACTAGACATTATGTTGGAATGAACTTTACAACTGGGGAGAGCAATGTTGGGAGGGGAAAAACTGGGCAAAATGAGGTGGGGTGTCACTGCTCAAAAGGAAATGTACTCATTACCTGACTCATGTAACTGTAACCCTTCTGTACATTACCTTTACAATAAAATTTAAATAAATATCCTTCTGGTTGTTGGGGGAAAATACAGAAAAAACACAATGGCAATATACTGTGTCATTTAGAAAACATCCTACTTGGGAAGATAGATATAAAAGGAAATCATTGATAATGGGCATGTGGTTATTATGGATGAAAATAGGGCAAAGAAAAATTGCAGGTGGTATTAGGGGATGTAAGTGTATACTAAGCATAAACTTAAATTGTCTCAATGATGAAGTGATATTTAAGAAAAAAGTTGAAGAAAGTATAGGAATGAGTCATATGATTATCTAGAAGTATGTTACCAGTAAGAGCAGATAAGCTGTTGTAAAAAATTGCACTAGCACTTGCTTGACAAGTTTACAAAAGAGCTAAGAGAATAATATGGGCCACAAAACATCAAGGAGACCAGAGAAAAATAAAATTAGGATTGTAAAAGTAAGGTATACTGTCCAACAGTTATTAAGTAATTGATAAAGAATGTAAGAACTTTAGTCTCCATTCTTATTGATGAGAAGCTCTTCGGGAAATACATTTTTTGGGGGAGTCCAGTTGTGGGGCCTGAACTCTGGGCCTGGGCACTGTCCCTCAGCTCTTCAGCTTAAGACTAGCGCTCTACCACTTGAGCCACAGTGCTACTTCTGGCTTTTTTCTTTTTGCTTATGTGGTGCTGAGGAATCGAACCCAGGGCCTCATGCATGCAAGGCAAATGCTCTACCACTGAGCCACCTTCCCAGCCCCAGGGGAAATACATTTTAAAGATCATTTTGGTTGCTAGCAGTCTAGGAAATTAAGGGTAAAAGTAGACACATGTTCAAGGAACTATTAAAACAATGTGTGATACAATAGAGCTAGGAAGAAAGGTTTTATAAGAGAAAACAATCAAGATGATCATATGTACCATTATTTAGAAAGTCGATTTAAAAGGATTTGCTGTAGAAGCCTAGCGTAAATGATAACCAAAGACATAGAGACACATAGAAAGGGTCTCCCTGGGATAAACAGAGGTCTTCAACCCAGGATAGCAATCAGGGAAGGAACTAAAAAATCACACTATGATATTACCTTGCTTTTATTTTCTCCAAGGACTCCTTAATAGGTTAATTTAGTCAAAGGAGGGCTAAGGAGGGCAAAGGAGCACACATCTTATCATGTACTCTTCTCATACACTGAAGAGGTAGAAAAGGGTAACGAGTGGATCAGGAAGTCAGACACAATATATACAGCACAGTAGTTGGTTGTAAGTCAGAAGAATCTAAGCTAAGAGAATGAGTGAAAACACAAGATAGTAAGGTCACCAAAAACTAGGCTCTGGAAGGGCTGAAAAACTCATGGATCTATGTAATGGAGAGTTAACTGAAAGAAATAAAGTGTAGTTCAAATGTAGGATAACTGAAGTTGAGATCATAGAAGGGTGTAGGAACTGACAAGAAAAACCCTTGGGAAGAATGGAAGGATATTGGATGAGGAGGATAGTCAAGATTTGGAGGAAAGAATAAATCAAGAATTTGTAAAGGTAGCATATTTTAAAATCCTCAAGATAAATTCTGCAATCACCACGCATAGTATTCAGGAGCATGACAGTGCCCAAAACCTAAATACTTGAGATCTTTTATTCAAGGCTAGTACTCTATCACTTTGAGCCATAGCACCACTTGTGGTTTTCTGCTAATTCATTGGAGATAATTGTCTCTCGGCCTTTCCTGCCTGGACTCGCTTTGTATTGAGATCCTTAGATCTCAGCCTCCTAAATACCTAGGATTAGAGGCAGCCAAACATGAATTCTTAAAAGTCATTCTGGCTCTCTCCTGTACTCCTAGCTACTCAGGATGCTGAGATCTGAGGATAATGGTTCAAAGCCATCCTGGGCAGGAAAGCTTGTGAGACTTTTATTGCAAATGAACCACCTGAAAACCAGCAAGGGAGCTGCATCTCAAAATGATACAGTGCTAGTTTTGAACAACAACAATAACAAAAAAAGCCCAGAGCTAGAACCAAGGCCTTGAGTTTAAGTTCCACCACCAACCAAAAAAGAAAAAAAAATGATGTCTGGTGATGGTAAAGAGAAAATAGTCCAAATGTATCAAAGAGGAACTAGTAGAATATTAATCTCTTCTATGGTGCAGAAATATGAGACAAATAGGAGAAAAATAGACTTCTATGAGTTAATGCGTCTATTAATTAATATTTTCTGGAAGAAGTAGACACTGACAACCAGAAAGGTAAAAAAAATGCTTTAGAAAGAGATAGTTAAAAAAATAGTTTTCAACAAATCCTCAAAGAAACAACTGCCCAATAAGTAAGTGGGCGAAAGACCTAAAGAGAAGCTTCTCTGAAGAAGAAAGAAGGATGGCCAATAGACACATGAAGAAATGTTCAACATCCCTAGCCATAAAAGAAATGCAAATCAAAACAACATTGAGATATCACCTCACTCCAGTTAGAACAGCAAAAATCAAGAACTCTAACAACAACAGATGCTGGAGGGGATGTGGACAGAAAGGAACCTTACTTCATTGTTGGTGGGAATGTAAACTTGTTCAACTACTTTGGAAAGCAGTATGGAGGTTCCTCAAAAGACTCCATATAGAGCTCCCCAATGACCCAGCAATCCCACTTTTGGGCATTTACCCAAATGACCACAAACAAGGCCACACTAAAGCTACCAGCACAACTATGTTTATTGCAGCATTATTTACCATAGCTAAGATATGGAACCAACCCAGATGCCCCTCAGTAGATGAATGGATCAAGAAAATGTGGTATATAGACACAATGGAATTCTATGCCTCCATCAGAAAGAATGACATTGCCCCATTTGTTAGGAAATGGAAAGGCTTGGAAAAAATTATATTAAGTGAAGTAAGCCAGGCCCAAAGAAACATAGGTCCCATGGTTTCCCTTATTTGCAATATCTAGTATAGGTATGAGTCAAGCGGAAAAAGTCAGAGAATGTGATGTTAGGAAAACTAACCCTCAAATATGTATTTTAATGTTTTTGTTTCATTCATGCATGTGTTTCTAACGCATTTATAATATTATTTCTTTGTTGCTTTGTATGTCCCTCCCCCACAGTGTAACCCCCGCTTTCACTATATTTGATGTAAGTATAACATGTGGAGGAGACGGGGACAAACAAGTCGTTTAAGGATTCAGGTGGACCTGTTGCAACAATGAGAAGTACAAAATGTCATGTCAAAACCAGCTTTACAATGTCGGTGGGGGGGAGGGAGGGGGGGTATGATTGGGTGGGGGGGAAGGGGGAGGCTGGGAAGGGAGGTGAAGGATAAACAAAAGAGGAGGCTGCAATGCTTGGTAAGAAATGTATGCATTTTCCTGCCCATGTAATTGTAACCCCTCTGTACAGTATGTTCTCAATTAAAATAAAATAAAAAAAAATAGTTTTAAATAGTTTTGGCTGTCTTGTTATCTTTAAAGAGTTGTATAGCTGGGTGCTGGTGGCTCGTGCCTGTAATCCTAACTACTCTGGAGGCTGCAATATGAGGATCTTGCTTCGAAGCCAGCCCAGGCATGAAGCCCATGACTCTTATCTCCATTTAATCACCAGAAAATCAGAAGCGGTGCTGTGGCTCAAAGTGGTAGAGCACTAGCCTTGAGCTGAAGAGCTGAGGGACAGCACCCAGGCCCCGAGTTCCAACTCTACAACAGCAACAACAACAAAAAAGCGTTTAGAATAAAGTTGCAAAATAAATTCAACTCCAATAATTGAAAAGGCAGATTAAAATCCAACCACAAGTAATGAGAAGCACAGGTAGGCATTTTGAATTCCTCAGTAGGAAGGAACTAGACTGAAAGGCCAAAAGGTGAGAAGTGGCCAAATGCCTAGATGTGGGAAAAGATCTTGCAAACTTTTGGGTGTCATGTGCTATTGATAGTTAGTACAGAACTAAGGTAAACCACAAAAGTGAGAGAAAAAAAATGCCTTGAAGGTAAGTAACAGTCACTCACAGATTCAAAAGTATAAAATCAGTCTGGTATAATATCTGGAGGTATATTTTGATGCTAATGTGTCTCCTCCATTTCTAACTCCCACCTGATAGTCCATTCCATGGAACAGATTTTTCCCTTGTTTTAACATTTAAAATAAGATAAGCAGGACAGAAAATCAGGAGTAAAATAGAAGCATGATTTGCAAGTTGAACATATTACTGAAGAATTACCTTTTCTCTGTTTAACACTTTAGAACGTTTACAGCCTGCAAAGCAGGGAGAAAAATATTCTATGTCATCTCTTCCACATACAGAAAAATAGACCATGGCTGAGCATCTACAGTGAGCATTGCAAGGCGCTATGAGGTTTCCTACCTCACCTGTCCTGTAAAAAATAAGGAGATCAAATTTAACTGTATTATTACTGTTTTGAATTAATATACACAGCAAGTTATCAATGATAAGCATAGGGTATGCTTATTGAAATTATTTCCTTTAACAGCTTTTCTGAAGACATAATTAAATACAGTAGTAAACATTTTAGATTATACCTCTTCATTTTTTTTTTTTTTTTGGTCATGCAGCTTGAACCCTGGGTTTGAGCATTGTCCTTGTGCTCTTCAGCTCAAGGTGAGTGCTCTACCACTTGAGCCACAGCACCACTTCCAGTTTTCTAATGGTTTACTGGAGATAAGAGTCTTACGGATTTTCCTGCCTAGGCTGGCTTTGCACCGTGATCTGCAGATCTCAGCCTCCTGAGTAGCTAGGATTACAGGCATGAGCCACCAGCGCCTGGCCCATGATACTATTTTTAAATATTAAACACAAAAGTATATATTTTTATTCTCTATATATGATTTACAATTTTAAAACTGACATATAATAGTTAGTGTATAAATAATTATTCATTGGTTGAGAAATATTCTATTGGGTTCTGATTTTAGAATATAATGTATGAAATCATATTTACCCATCATAATTTTCATTGATTCCAGCAAATTTATCTGGATCGCAGTTTACAAAAATTACAAGGGAAAGACATGCAGCAGATACAGCAGAAGTAAGCATTATAAATCTCAGCAGGCCTTTACAAGACAGTTTTAACTTAGAAACAATGAAACCTCCCAGAAAATGGCCAATTGAACCTCCTGGAATTAAAATAACTCCTGAAAAAAAAGAGAAGAAATTAATTAAGCATTACAATAAATATTGCAGAAAATAGTTAACCTATACAGAAAATTCATACAATGATGTAATTCTCTCAATGATGTAATAAAACATAGAATTTATTTCTGTGTGTGTGTGTGTGTGTGTGTGTGTGTGTGTGTGTGTGTTTCCTAGGGCTTGAACTAAGGGCCTAAGCATTATTCCTTAGCTCTTTTGTTCAAGGATAGTGCTCCGATACTTGAGTCACAGTTCTACTTCCATCTTTTGGTGGTCAGTTGGAGATATGGGTCTCATGAACTTTCCTGCCTGAGCTGGGTTTGAACCACAATCTACAATCTCAGATTCCTGAATAGCTATGCTGGTGGCACAAGCCACCAGCAGCTGGCCAGAAAAAAAAAAGCATTAATAAACATCTTTTTTTTGTTTTTGGTCCTATCATGGGGCCTGAACTCTGGGCCTGGGCGCTGTCCCTCAGCTCTTCAGCTCAAGGCTAGCACTCTACCACTTGAGCCACAGCACCACTTCCAGCTTTTTAATTTTTTTTTTCTGCTTATGTGGTGCTGAGGAATCGAACCCAGGGCCCCATGCATGCAAGGCAAGCACTCTACCAGCCCCATAATAAACATCTTAACCCACATAAACATCATAAGAAAAGCAAATTAAGAGTAGCACTAGCATCATGGACCTATTGAATTTTCCAACTCCTATATGGTAATAACAACTGGACAAAGACTGACAATCCATGCCAAATAGAAGTTGGAAGATTTTTCTACTGACAGTTGTACCTAGCTAGATGACTGGGTTTATAGCTATTGCAAAAGACACGATTAAAAGAACATGAATTCTTAAATATACATTTTTGAGGGAGACTGAACCAAGCCACCCTCTGGATCTGTAAATGGATGGGCAATATGAGTGATCTAAGAGAAATGGGGGACTCTAGCAATTATCAGATGGAGTTCCCATTCAAGCACAGCTACTTACAAAGAGGGACATGGGAAGAGAGAAAGGAAAACAGAAGAGAAATATAGTTAGGAAATAGTCAATGAAGATATACAGTAAATTCCTACACTGATGTAATCCAATGCAAACCACAGCATGCATGTTGGGTTAAGTTGAGATAAAGAAGAGAAAATTAAAGAACAAATCACAGAGTTCCCATTACCATCAGATACAACTTTCAACCTAACAAACCTGACAAACACTTGAAAAATAAGCATTTTCCAAATGTTCAGAAAGATACATAACAAAAGATACATGACATGAAAATGAAGAAGTAAATGAAAAAGGGAAGGCCGGTAACAGGTGGCTAAAAAACCATAAGAAAATTAGACAGTTAAAGAAAAAAGACCGGTGTAAGCTCAAGGTAGCACAGTAGGGAAACAGCTCTACTTTGCTCCTCCATAGGCTAGAAACAAAGCAACAGGTGCATAACTAAACAACAGCTGATAGAAAGGAATGTATGCATGTAGGCAGTCCTCACCAGTAGCACAGAAAAGGAAATCTGGAATACTGTAAAGATGTTCAGGAGAACAACAAAGCAAGGTAAACAGAATACCTCAACTCCTTCTGCTCAGCAAATCAACTGGAGAAAGAGATATCTTCCCTCCAAGGAAGTAAAAACCAAAGAGTCACAGCATGGCAATGAAGATTGCACCCTACAGACAAATCACTTAAATAGGTGACCTGACATCCGCACAACACACTCCACTTAAAGAAAAAAAAAATCCCCATCATGTCTCTGCAAAATATGAAGGCTAAAGCCAGAAACCATCTTGACAATTATCCTGTTGTTAAGGACTCAACTGCTCTGGAGTTTTGAAAACTTGGCACAATCAAATCTCAGTTTCCTTATGGAGATTTCACTGCATTAACCAGATAGCAAAAGTCACACCCTTAACTAAAAAGAAGTACTTCTGAGAGGTTTTTGCTGTGAAAAGTTAGAAGTTGTAATGGGAAAGAGATGTAACACACAGTGGGCAACTGCTCTGGGGCACAGAGGGGAGAGAAGGTTTCTGAGTAGAGATCTAGAAGACAGAGGCCAGGAGAGGATTCCTCCAATATGGGGCATCACCGGCTCTCTCCCCAAATGAAGCCCCCTTATGGCTAAGCATTCACAAAGGAAAACAGAGTGCCTCATAGTCTGCCTTCACTGGAAAAGAGAAGCCAGTAGTCATTGGTTCTGTGTTTGTACGTTGCCCAAATTGGCCCTCTCCAAATACTGGAAGCCTATCCTTTCCTGAGACATTTTTTTGTTTATTTCCTTGTCCTTTTTTTTATTCTTCTCTTGTTCACTTGTTAACATGAGACTTCTCAAACAAATGATTAGTTGAAACACTCATATACTCTACACAATTCTTGGGGTTCTGATAGGTGATAAGACAATTGGACTAAAGGGTTTGAACCTCAAACTCAATCATTCTGACCATAGTATTTTCAAACCTTTACCAGTAAGGATAACTCATGAAGTCCAACAAGATTCTGAACACTTTTCATTTCATTTTTATTGACTATGTAGACAGATTGAAGATGTTCAACTTGTTGGGCAGTTGAGGAAGAACTGATTTCTTTCTTCCCTGCAAACAATAGGCAGACTAACATCACTTGAGACTCTGACTTCTGGAGGTGCTTATACTTCTGTTTGACATAATACTTGTTTTTTTGCCCACTTTGAACTACATGTGTTCCCTACAGATGGTTTTGTGGACTTACATTTCTGAAAAATAGTGTAAGTTTTCATCAGGCTAGCTAATGGGAGATCAATGAATGTAAGATTCACTGGTTCTTTAAAAGATTTGCTTTTGGAGGACACATATTGTTTGTCAAAAATGAAGGGTGAAAAAGTCCAGCAGTGGAGCTAAAGGGATACTGTGATGAAAGTGAACTATACAACTCCTGGGTGGAGAGCGGATGGAGGTAATGGAAGAGAGTGAGGGAAAGGAAGATACTAAACTAAAGGAAATGTACTCATTACATAACTTATGTAATTTTAATCCCTCTGTGCATCACATTTTAGTAACAAAAAAGTAATTTAAAAAAAAAACTTTTTTTTGGGTCTGGTCATGGGGCCTGAACTCTGGGCCTGGGCGCTGTCCCTCAGCTCTTCAGCTCAAGGCTAACGCTCTACCACTTGAGCCACAGCGCCACTTCTGGCTTTTTTCTTTTTGCTTATGTGGTGCTGAGGAATCGAACCCAGGGCCTCAGGCATGCAAGGCAAGCGCTCTACCACTGAGCCGCCTTCCTAGCCCCCAAAAAAGCAATTTTTTAAAGTGAAGCTTTGAAACAGAAACTTGATAGCCTAAGACTGATCAGAGGATGGACCAGATAAACCTCACAATTCACTCTTTGACAGTTTTATTTAACCAATAGGACTAATAAATGCAAGCACATAGGAGTACAAACCAGATGGGGTAGTATACATCTGTAATCTTAGCTACCTACATAAGAGGCATAGGTAGGAGGATTTTTTTTTTTTTTTTAAATTCCGGTTGTGGGGCCTGAACTCTGGGCCTGGGTGCTGTCCCTCAGCTCTTCAGCTCAAGTCTAGCGCTCTACCACTTGAGCCACAGCGCCACTTCTGGCTTTTTTTCTTTTTGCTTATGTGGTGCTGGGGAATCGAACCCAGGGCCTCATACATTGCAAGGCAAGCGCTCTACCACTGAACCACCTTCCCAGCCCAGGTAGGAGGATTTTGGTTCAAGGCTTGCCCTGGGCCAAAGCACAAGAGTCTACCAAAAAAGTAATCAAAGTAGAAACTGCTAGGAATATTGCTTAAGTTGCAAGCATGAGACTCTGATTTCAAACTCAAGAACCACCAAAAAAGAAAAGGAAGAAGGAGTAAAAAAAAAAAAAAAAAGACTTGTCATTGAAATGTTCCAGTGTTCAAGGAGAAATGGCCAGTAGATCATACAACCTCAGGAGACCATGGAATTCTCTCTAAAATAAAGTCTTCTATTGGAATTCTCCCTTCCTGGCAGGATCAATACACATTATTTACATTAATTCTGAGCACAATGATTTCTGCAGTCCAATTACAAGAGGTGATACAAAATTTGTTCCCAAAATTAGCTAAAATAATCAGATACCATCTTAGTCCTGGAAAGTGCTCTACTAAGCCAGATCACTATCCTTGTAGGTCAAAGCCAAATATTTAGTTAATAATACATCTGTTATACTTAGTTTAATATGTGAGGCTAAGTGCAAAAATCAATATATAAGCTTAAGGGAAAATATGACAGTTATAGGATTTATTGACCTGGCTGGGTCCAGATACTTGATGGTCTCATCTATCTCATGGAATCAGATAATCTTATTCATAGTAAATATTATTAGAAACAAATTGGACTTATTTAGTGTGAACCTGTCGATTATAAAAATCAGAGTAGCCAAGAATGTGGTTTATGCCAGGCGCCAGTGGCTCACACCTGTATTCCTAGCTACTGAGGAGGCTGAGAGCGGAGGATCACAGTTCAAAGTCAGCCCGGGAAGAAAAGTCAGTGAAATTCTTATCTCTAATTAACCACCAGAAAACCGGAAGTGGTGCTGTGGCTCAGGTGGTAGAGCACTTGCCTTGAGTTGAAGAGTGCAGGGATAGCGCCCAAGCCCAGAGTTCAAGCCCCATGACCAACCAAAAAAAAATGTGGTTTACTCACAGGAAAATCTATCATTATGTTCATGGAAATAGATCTGTACCATGTTTTGGCCTTTGAAGAAGTTTCCAGTCTATAATGCAGGGCCTTTTATAGAAAATTCTATTTAATATCTAGATTTTAACTGAAGTTTTTTGCATGGTTAACATTGCTTTCCAGAAAAGGCCAACAGCTCTGTACATATGACCATATGAGATGATGTTAAGCAAAATGAACCTTAAGATAGGGACACAAATATTTTTTTTCTTTCTTGCTATTGTTCCTAACGTATTTATTTTTTGTTGCTTTGTATGTTCCTCCCTCATGGTATAACCCCTATTTTCACTGTATTTTATCTCAGTGCCCTGTATCTTGTATATACACTTCTCTAATTTAGGGAGGGGAGGGAAAAAAACCAAAATGCTTACATAAGAACACAGGTTGACTCATGTAACAATAAGATATACAAAAAACAAACAAAAATTGCTTTCTAGTTGACTCACTTAGCTTATGTCCATTCCTTCTTTCATATCATATTTCATATTAATATTACTTTTTACTATTCTTATATTTGTTACCCAAAAAGTTGCAACATGTGTCCTTAACTATTTATTGAATAAAATAAGTCAATTCTTTTAACTACTTTCCCATTAATCCTAGAGTATTATAGCACTTAATTCTATTAGCAACTTTTATGGAGGAAGCAAATTCTCAATAACTGAGATTGAGGATTGATTACACAACAGGAATTCACCTCTAATGACAAATGAAGAGCAACTTTAGTAAATGTACCCAGGTGTATATTGATAAGTCTATTCACTACATTATATGAAAGAGCAAAACTTTGGAGGTAACTTTATATCTGTTATTAGGATAATATGTTCGTGCATAAAATCTCGTACTACAATTAAGATGCATTAAGTAGATATATGGCTACCTGAGTTGGCAGAATGTATTTTCTCATAAATAAAGGTAGCAATGAACAGACAAGGGTCTCATATCTAAAATATACCTGGAACTTAAAAAATTAAATCCTCCCAAAACAAATCTTCAAAGAAACAACTGCCCAATAAATAAGTGGGCTAAAGACTTAAAGAGAAACTTCTCTGAAGAGGAAAGAAGGATGGCCAATAGACACATGAAGAAATGCTCAACCTCCCTAGCCATAAAAGAACTGCAACTCAAAACAACATTGAGATACCACCTCACCTCAGTTAGAATGGCTATAATCAAAAACTCTAATAACAACAAATGCTGGAGGGGATATGGACAGAAGGTAACCTTACTGCATTATTGGTGGGAGTGTAAACTGGTTCAACCACTTTGGAAAGCAATATAGAGGTTCCTCAAAAGACTCCACATAGAGCTCCCCTATGACCCAACAATCCCACTTTTAGGCATTTACCCAAATGATCACAAACAAGACCACACTAAAGCTATCAGCACGACTATGTTTATTGCAGCATTATTTACCATAGCTAAGATATGGAACCAACCCAGATGCCCCTCAGTAGATGAATGGATCAAGAAAATGTGGTATACATACACAATGGAATTCTATGCCTCATCAGAAAGAATGACATTGCCCCATTTGTTAGGAAATGGAAAGACTTGGAAAAAATACATATATTAAGTGAAGAAAGCCAGGCCCAAAGAAACACAGGTCCCATGGTTTCTCTTATTTGCAATAACTAGTATATGTCTGAGTCAAGCAGAAAAGGTCAGGTAAGTTGATGGAAAGGGAATGAACCCCAAGTTAAGTATTTAAATGTGTTTTTTTCCTTTCATGCAATTGTTTCTAACATATTTATAAGATGATTTCTATGTTGCTTTGTATGTCCCTCACCCACGGTATAACCCATGCTTTCACTGTATTTGATGTTGGTATAATTTGTGGAGGAGAAGGGCAAAAACAAATGGTTTAACTAGGGATACAGGTGAATCCATTGCAACAATGAGATGTACAAGTCGTTATGTCGAAAAATGAATTTTGGAGAATCGGGTGGGGGTGAGTATGGGAAGGGATGGGAAGGGGAAACAAAGAGGAGGCAACAATGCTTGATAAGAAATGTACTCGTTATCTTGCCCATGTAATTGTAACTCCTCTGTATGGTATTCTCAACAATAAAATATAAATAAATAAATAAATAAATGCAGCAAGGAAAAGTTTATATTAAATGATACGTGAATGCTAGACATATTTAAAGAGAAAGTACAGAGAAACAAGCAGAGATTCGTGGGAGGTTGTGAGACCCAGAGTTCAATAAATAAACAAGAGAAAACTGTTCCAATCTGTAAGGAGACTTCATGGTAATTTCAAAAAAGTGATTAAATAAGGAGTGGGAAGAAGAAAAATGTAGATACCTTACAATATTTAACATATAAAAAATACTGACATAATAATAAGGCTGTTCATACTTGTTCAAATTTCAGCAAAAAGAGTTGAAGTATATTATTTCTTATATATATATATATATATATATATATATATATATATATATATATAATCTGCTCTATCTCTCCATAAGGACTTAATACAAACTCTTTGAAAAAAACCTATGAGAAGTCTACCTGTAAGCATAGTTGCCATCCTGGGTGTTAATATAAATTGATTTTCTATATATACAGGCAAAAACTTGGAAGCTCCAATAATAATTAAGGCTTCTATAGATTTGCACAGAGTTTGGCACATGAACAGTGGATTCTTCATCAGACCCTAAAACAGAAATAATTTTTGTCATATATTTTATTAAGTCAAGACCAGATGCATTTAGTCATATGTTAATGATCAATCTATAAAAATGTGCCATGCTTTATCTAAAAATTATATATATATATAGTATGTACATGTTATCCCAAACTATGTATATATACATATAAATATGTAACCCAAACCCAAAATATATGATTCACCAATATACACATTCCATAAAAGTTGGAGTTTTTTTTGTTGTTGTTTTGTTCTGTTTTTTTTGGGTCCGGTCGTGGGCATGAACTCTGGGCCTGGGCGCTGTCCCTCAGCTCTTCAACTCAAGGCTGGTGCTCTACCACTTGAGCCACAGCGCCACTTCCAGATTTTTTTCTGCTTGTGTGGTGCTGAGGAATTGAACCCAGGGCCTCATGCATGCAAGGCAAATGCTCTACCACTGAGCCACATTCCCAGCCCCAAAGATTGGAGTTTTTGACCACTTATGCTTAATTTGGTCTTTATATCTCCTACAATTTTTATTTGTGTGCCTCAAAGTTTGTTGAAAAGCTTTGAGAAAAATCTTGTGCTTTGTGAGATATAATCATATTTTGCATATTTATCTAATTCAGCTATCTATTTAATTGTGCATAGCAGGATTTCACTGTATTTACCCATTCCCATAGGTGATTTTGTTACAACCTACACCTTACTGAAACAAAGATGTCTGGATTTAAAGTCCTTGAGCAGTTGAGGACCAGTAGTTCACACCTGTATTCTCATCTACTCAGGAGAAAGAATCTGGAAGCATGGAAGTTCAAGGCCATCTTGAATATAAACATGAGACATCCACACCCTCAGCCAAAAGTTGTACATAATGGCACACACTTGTCATCCTAGCTATATGGGAAGCATAAATATGTGATAGCAGTCAGTCCATTAACATGAGCAGGAGCCTACTTGAACAATAGCAAAGGTTAAAAGGTCTTGCAGCATGGTTCAGGTAGAGTATCTGCCTAGCAATCACAAGACCCTTAGTTCATTGTCCAATACCACTGAAAGAGGTGAAAGAGGAGAGAGAAAAGAGAGGGGGAGGGGCAGGGAAGGAGGGAGGAAGAGACAGAGACAGAGAGAGAGAGAGGAGAGGAGGAGAGGAGGAGAGAGGAGAGAGAGAGACAGAGAGACAGAGAGACAGAGAGAGAGAGAAGAGAGAGAGAGAGGAGAGAGAGATCCCTGTACTATTAATGTCCCATGATTCCTTTAGAAGTATATATCTAGGATAGAATTACTAGGAGGGGATAATAATGAATTTAATCATTTCTCTAGATTTTTCTCTAGAATACATTTTTCAATATAGGACTTTCATTTTCTTCATGTTTCAGCTTCTGCTTCCTAAAATCCAACAGAGCACTATTTAAGCTTCTGCAAGTACTTCCTGAGTTATACTGTTGCATTATTAAGATTCCTTGAACTTGAGGAAATCTTATGATTGCTCATGCAGGTTGGGTCATAAAATGATAATATGACTTTCACTTGGATCTCATTGTCTCAAGACTCTTGTCTTTGAACTTAGTCACCATGTTATGGGATAGTCCAGGCCAGATAGAAAGGTTATGCATGAGTGATCTAGCAAAGAGCAAGTTTTTAAAACTAATATTTGAGCAAAGAGGGAGAGATGATCCCATTCCATAGACATTGATCACTCTAGTTAATTCTAACTACAGCTGAGAGAAGTGTGCCCAACTTGTGCATTCATGCAGAAAATAGACTTTTTTTTATTATTTTATATAATTTTTATGGTGGTTCGTTAACTGGTATGTAATAAAAAAAAGTCTGACATTATTTGCTAGTTTCCAAAAATTAGCCATACAGACCTACACACACAAACACACACACACAGAGACATGTATGTATGTATATACATAAGTATAAAAGTTATACATATATAATTTTTAGTACAAATTTCAGGTGTAACTGCATTTCTTCCTGTATTTTTTAGCTATTCGTTATGAGTGTGTCTATGTGTATATGTGAAGTGATATTTTCATTTCTATTATGCTTCCTGCAATTTTTCTGAATATTTTCTCAAAATTACTTATTCATTCTAACTATTAACTTCTTTAATTTGGGTATCTATTACTTATATATTATGTTGTCTACAGGTTTCTTCATAGAAAAGAAATCCTGAGTTTGATATAATCTAACTCATAGGTTTGCATTGTATTTACCCTACTGAAATTTTGGTTAACACACATATTCCATTTTCCTATTACAAATATATTTCATTCATTTCTAACATGGAACTGAGTTGCTTTATGTAAAACATTTGTAAACTTGGAAACTACCTTTGAACCTTTGTGACTTTACCATTTTATCACTACAATACAAAATCAAAACACGAAAATAGAGATTCTACCTCATTTTATACTTAGGGAACAAATTTTCCATCACTTATACTGAATGACTACTTTTTGCTACTTATTTTATCATATAACAGACTTGTCTTTTTTCTTTTTTTTTTGTTCTGGTCCTGGGCTTGAAATAAGACTGTCTCACAAATTTGTCAACCCAGGCTTGCTTCGAAGAACTATGATCCGCAGATCTCACCCTTTTGAGTAGCTAGCATTACAAGCATGAGGCACCAGTACCTAGTTACATATTCTTTTAAATATACACTCTCTGCTGCTGAGTTCTCTACTGTATTACTCTTGCATATTTATCTGTTTGAAGTAAAATACTATACTATTTTTACTATTATGATCTTGTAGATATGATAATGTATACTAGGTCTTTGCTGTCTGTTTTAGTTATTTGTGATTTTATTCTGCCATATTAACTTTAGAACTCATTTGTCATTTTCTAAAAAAAGATGAAGTTCATGGCATCTTAACAATTTCACTTGCACCGAATTTATAGATTATTTGGGAAATAAATCATGTACATAAACAAAACTATTTCATCGATGAACATGATATATTTTTCACTTTATCCCCATCTTTTTTAATATAGATGATTAGTTTAAATTTTTCATAAAGTTTTTAGGCATCTCTGTTAATGAGTTTCTGAACTATTTATAGTTTGTGATTATTTTTACTGTACAATCTAATAACAGACATATAAACAGGAAAAAAGTATTCAAATTATCTTTGCCGATAATATCTTATATGATCAAAAATCTACTCAATATCAAATGGCTATCACAAGTGATATATTTAGATTTAGGATACAAATAAAAACATAAAATTCAGTAACATTTTGTATGTTCATAACAAACTTTCTGAAAAATAAATCATAAAAACAATTACCAACGTAACAGCTACAAAAGCACCTAAGAAAAAGCTTAACAAAGAAGATGAATGATCTTTACAATGAAAAGTGAATAGTGATGATTAAATAAATCGAAGAAATGAAAAAACATGGATGTTAGATGATCATTGTTTGGAAGAATTCATATTAGTATGTCTGCACTACAGTGGTAGTCTTGCCTGGCATGCATGAGGCCCTGGGTTCGATTCCTCAATACCACATAAACAGAAAAAGCTGGAAGTGGCTCTGTGGCTCAAGTGGTAGAGTGTTTGCCTTGTGCTGAAAAGCTGAGGGACAGCTCCCTGGCCCAGAGTTCAAGCCCCACAATCAACAAAAAAACAAAACAAAACAAAATATAATCAATTGATCAATGAAATCTTTATAAAAATAACAATGATATTATTCACAGAGTTGTTAAAAATAAAGTCCATATGAGAGCAAAGAAGACTCCAAATAACTGAAGCAATCTTTTAACCAACATAACATATTGTGTTATCATATACACAAAATACTACAGCTGAACCTATTGGTTAATGCCTGTAATCTCAGTTACTTAGGAGGCAGAGACAGGAGGATCTTGAGTTCAAGATCAGCCTGGCAGTTTTTGAAACAAGATGAAAGCAGAAAAGCTGGGTTTAGTCTCCAGTACCAAGAGGAAACAAGCTAAAGAAACAGAAAGAGAGAGGGGGTAGAGGAAGGGAGGGAAGGAGGGAAGGAGGGAGGGAGGGAAGGAAGGAAGGAAGAAAGGAAGGAAGGAAGGAAGGAAGGAAGGAAGGAAGGAAGGAAGGAAGGAAGGAAGGAAGGAAGGAAGGAAGGGAAGGAAAGAAGGCAGGCAGGCAGGCAGGCAGGCAGGCAGCACAGAGTCATATTTACCAAAGGATCATGTTGCTTATATGAAAACAAATGGGCAGGTAGATAGTTTAGAAATAAGGACATGTATCTACAGTGTACAGATTGATGACAAATGTGCCAAAAATATAGATTGGAGAAAGGGTAGGCTTTGGGGAACTGGGTATTCATTTTCAGAAGACTGAAACTTGACCCCTGTTAACATTACTCTACAAAAGATGTGTACAGGTAATATTTTTAAGATGATTCCAAAAGAACAGGAAATAAAAATAGACATATGGGGTTATATAAAACTAAAGCACTGCAGCAGAACAAACAATGACCAAATGAAGAGAATACCTAGAGAACAGGAGACGATAACTGCCAACTGAATTAATTGTCAAAGGATTAATATCCAGAATAAACAAATGAAAATATTTAATAACAAAATACCCAATTTAAGACTAGAACATAAGCTAATAGAGAGTTCTCAAAAGGAGAAATGCAAATGGTTAGAAATATGAGTAAAAAAATCAATAAAACTGTCACAATGGAAATAAAAATCCAAGTAGAATTACAGCAGTTAGAATGGCTACTGTTAAAAAGAAAAAAATTGTTAAGGATGTGGACTAAAAGGAACTCATACGCTTTTGGTGGAAATATGGATTAGTCCAGTTTTATAAAAATCAGACTTGATGTTTCTCAAAAACCTAAAAACAAATTTACCACATGATCTAGCTACCTCACCTTGGCGTACCTGTGTTAGTCATCTTTCTATGACTATAACAAATATCTGAGGTAGTATTGAGAAAAAGTTTATGTGGGGTCACAGTTTTAAAGACTTTGTATGTGATTGGTTGATCCTGTGTGCCTTGGGAATCCTGATGCTGCACAGCCAAGACACATGAGAATTAAAAAAAACAAACAGGAAGAGAGTCCCACAATTCTCTTTGAGGTACAACCTTAATGACCTGGGAGGGCTCATGATTCCCCCAAAAGTACATATAAAATTGAATATACATGGTTATTTTCTTAAGCCCATTATCAAAAACTGAATTGTTCATGGAGAATATTTTACTTTACCCAAATAGAAATAAATAAATCCTTAATGTTAGCTTCAGATTCCTTATCTTTGGTGTAAATCAAGGTGTTTTCTTTCTTTTTCTCAGCAGTTATCTTTTCTGAACCTATACATTAACAAGCAAAAGAATCTTATGACATATCCAGTAATTAGGAAAAATACCAGAATCTTATCGGATTAAAATGCACTGTGCTAAAACAAAACTAAAGCCTAATTCTCTAAAACCACAATACCAAAACTGTTTTTAAAATATTGTTCTTATCTTAGTAACATTTGCAAATGAAAAACTGGCTTATAGGTTTTTGCCACCAGCAGTTTGCATCTTCCTCTGAGGAAATTTCAATCAAGTTCATGGATGGTACCTTGAATGTAAAATTTCTAACCATAGTGAGCAGAGATGCCAGAACATTATCTGCAGGGCAGACAAAGGTAGAGCTGAAAATGGATGCCCAGAATGGTCAAGATCTATTCAGAAAAAAAATCTGTTGAGACAAAAGAGAAAGTTACAAGAGTCCAAATGGATTCATACTGGGCATAGTGGCTCTAATCTCAGTACTTAGGAAGTACAGTGAGTTCCAGGTCAGTCCAAACTATGTAGTGAGACTCTGTATCAAAACCAATAGCAAGATTGAGTCACTGCGGCCACCTCTTTCAAAAGTAATTTAAATCTACTAGGTTCTGAATAATGGATGATCACACCTGAATATTTCACATGGGCAATTTAATTGTGTATCTTATTCCTAACCCTTAAGCATATACTATCATGGCACAACCAATTATTAGTCTATTGTGCCATTTAATTATCTAGGCCATATTATTACACCGGGCAGTTATCTCTTGGCTACTAAGGAAAGAAAGGCCTTTTTAAAAGTTACTCATTTATTTATATTATTTTAAAATAATTGTACAAAACCCTCTAAACTCATTAAGAGCTGAAAAGTGTTATTCCTTTAAGGATTTAAAGGATTTAAAATCAACCTCCTGTATCAGAAGGTATTTAGTATTGAAGTAGTACACTGTTTATATAGTAGAACTATAACTGGGTCATTACTAGGTTGCCATTTTCATTTGTTTCTGTGGATAAGGAGGGATTCAACATGTTAAATTAATGGAGTTTGAGTATAACGTTGTTTTATATTTTATAATTCTTTGCATATTATTAGCCTTTTCCACACACAGGAAATACATTTTTACCTTTAAGGGATTTTTTAAACTAATTTCTCTTTGGCATCTCTTTTAATAAAAAGTAACTTGTCTTCTGGTCCTAATCATGGTAGCCTAACAATTGAATTACCTGCTTCCCAAGTTTTCTGTGCTGCTTCCTAAATATGATAGGAAAATTACTTTCAGTTCCCTTTTCTAAACAGGGCCAACAGTCCATTTTCAACCCAAGTCTGCTATTGAAAATACCATATTGGTCCCCCATATACTTTTTAAATTAAAAAGGACAAAAGGCATTTAGGCATGAAAGATAGATATGGTCAACTAAAATTAATTATTATTAATAGGGCTAGACTGAGGCAAAGGATAGTAAAGTGTTTCTCTTACTACCTTCTTTTAGATATTAAGTTATAAGAATAGGTGATGTAAAAGGTCTGTATGAATTTATCCTCTCCTTTGAGATGCTAAGAAACCACAAGGCTCCTTGAAGATCTATAAAGACAGAAACCATGACAAGTATGTATGGCCAAAGGAGCTGTGAACGTTACCTGTTGTAAGCCTCACCCATCTTATTCACCCAGAATCATTGTCTATGGCCTGGGAGTTGCTAACCAACAAGACCACTTCGATTCTCCCAGCTCAGACAAGGGACAGGGGGGAAACCAATGCAACAGCGATATTCACAAGACAATACGCTGGAAATAATCTGTACAACTCTGGGGAGAGGGTATTGGTGGGGGAAGTGGGAGAAAATAAGCTAAGGTGTAAAAAGTTTGACAAGAAATGTACTTATTACTTTGCTTATGTAGCTGCAACCCCTCTGTACATCAACTTGAAAATTAAAAAATTAAAAAGGAAAGTATAAAAGCTAGAGATACTTTCATTTTGAGCCTTTAACTTGCATTTCTTTCATAGAGAAAAGGAAATGTTTTGTTTCTCCCCATTTTCAATGTCTCCCTATTGATCTTGTTATACTAAAACAAGCCCGTACTTAATGTAAAAAAAACAAAACCAACTTGATTTCTCTATGTGCTTTGTAATGTTTCCACAATAATCATTTCAGTACTGTCTTAGAAAAATCATGCGAGGTAGTAGTACATATATTAAACAATGCTTGGCAAGTAGATTTCAGTATACTTGAATTTTAAAAGACAATTGTGAACTCTAGATATAAGATATTATTGAAAGAAAATAAATGAAAATATATGCATATGAACTTTTGCTATATCAATTAAATATTTGTCAGCAGTCATTTCATTTGTTCAAAAACAGGAGACTTGACACTATATGATAGCCCTCCACCAATATAAGGGCATTTACACACACACACACACACACACACACACACACACACACACACACACGCACACACACGCACACACACGCACACACACACCGCAGAAAAGTTAAAATGTAGTTCAGGCATGCTCTGATACCGAGTTTTAGGGAGGACAAACAGTAATGAATTATATTTTTATACTCACCTAACATAACAGGTGGAAAGCATAAAAGTGGTATAAATGTGGACCATGCAACTGCAGAGACAAAAAGAAATTCCATCCACCAAGCTGAGTACCATTTTACAGGTTGATCACTCTCATAGTAGGTAGAGCTTCAATGGAAAAATATGAAAAACCTGAATGTACAGCCTTTTATTAAAATAAAGTCACAATCAGAGAAATAGAGAGGAAAAAAGTGAACATTTTCTGTTTGTTGGTAATTTTTCAGTATTTTTGTTGGTTTAGATGATAAGAAGTGATTATTAGCTTTTAATTATATATGTATCACTTTGGCCTCAAAGGATTAAAAATTTCTAAATGTATCTGTCTCTATCTCTTTTTCAATCTTCTTCCTTCCTTCCCTCCTTCCTTCCTTCCTTCTTTCCTTCCCTCCCTCCCTCCCTCCTTCCCTTCCTCCCTCCCTCCCTCCTTCCTTCCTTCCTTCATTCCTTCCTTCCTTCCTTCCTTTCATCTCTACTGGGGCTTGAACTCAGGAACTGGGCATTGAACCTCAGCATTTTTGCTCAGTGCTAGCACTCTATCACTTGAGCCAGAGTTCTACTTCCAGTTCACTAGTGGTTTATTGGAGATTAGAGTCAGATTGTCCTGCTTGGGCTGGCTTTGAACTGCAATTCTCAGATCTCATTCCTAGATTCTCTCAGAGAGTCTAGGATTATAGGCATGAGCCACCAGTGCCAGCCTTCTTCTTTCTTTTCCTTGATGCCAATAAGATAGTAAAACAGGTTTTATTTGTTCTAACTTATTTTTTTTATATCAATAACTTTGCCTTTGAAAGACTCTTTTAAGTTTTGCATCTCCTTTAAAATCATTCCTGTCAACTTGTTCAATCACTCTGGCAAGCAGTATGGAGGTTCCTCAAAAGACTACACAAAAAGCTCCCCTATGACCCAGCAATCCCACATCTGGCCATTTACCTAAATGATCACAAACAAGGCCATACTAAAGTTACCAGCACAACTATGTTTATCACAGCATTATTCACTATTGTTAAAATATGGAGCCAACCCAGATGCCCCTCAGTAGATGAATAGATTAAGAAAATGTGGACTATATACAATGGAATTCTATGCTTCTATCAGAAAAAAATGACACTACCCCATTTTAAGGAAATGGAAAGACTTGGAAAAAAATCATATTAAGTGAAGTAAGCTAGGCCCAAAGAAACATAGGTCCCATGGTTTCCCTTATTTGTAATAATTAGTATACATCTAGGATAATCTTAGAAGATGAGTAGAATAGCTGAATAGCTATGTACATATGACCATATAAGAGGACGCTAAGGAAAATGAACTCCAAGCCATGGAAATAAAAGGTTTTTCTTTGTTGTTGTTCTCCATGTACTATGTGATCTCCATCTCTCTCTCCTTCCCCTCCTCTCTCTCTGTATGTGTTCATTCCCAATATGGTTTACCCCCTGTTGACACTGTATTTGATTTTTATACCCTGGGAATTGTACTCTGAACTAAGGAAGGGAAGAGGAATAATAAAATGGTGAGAAAAAGGACCAAGTGGGGCCTATGCAACAGCAATACTCGCATGACAATCTGTACAATTTGGAGCAAATGAGGGGAGAGAAAGAGGGAGAAAATGAGGGCGGGAATAACAAGTTAGACAAGAAATGTAATCACTACCTTACTTATTTAACTGTAACCTCTCTGTATAGAACCTTGACAATAAATTTAAAATTTAATAAAAATAAAATAAAACTATTCCTGTCTATTTAAATCATGCATTATGGCAAGTATGATTTGGGGTTTGCATAATTGATCTTTCATGTCACATGACCCTTTGAATCACAAATATCTCTTGCTTGTTTTCTGTTCCTCCCTGTGGTTTTTCTTAATGTCCTTTTGCTTCTCTCAGAATTTTGCAATGGGTAGGGTAGGACAGGAAAGATTTTCTGCTAGGATTTGTTCATTTTCTCTTTCTCATAGTGTTTGAAGTTTCAGAATGCTTTATCTGTGGTTAAGGCCAATAACGAATATTTGTAGAGCATTTTTTATGGTTTCATTTTATATGAGAGAAGAGATTTGGAGAAACTTATACCCCCAATATGTTCACCCCACACACCACTGAAGAGTGTCTCTAACCAATCATGGAAGTACAATGACCATATCCCCAGAAACCTCAACTGGAAGGGTTAGGTTTCTCACAGGTGACCCTGTTATCAACCAAAATCCAGTGAATCCTGGTTCATAGGTCTGGGAATATATCCCCAGACTTTTCACTGTTGGGATGACTTTATATCTATTTCTGGCCTTATTGAATAATAAAAATATCAGTCAAGCATGATGTAGGGTTGCAATGTCCATTTCTTATTCCAAATTACCACTCAAGCTACATCTTCCCTTCTTTACATTGTTCTTCTTACTGTAGTGAGCATTAAACTCAGTGCCTCAAACATAATAGGAAAGAGTGCTGAAAATGACCTCAATTGCCACCTCTCTTTTTCTTTCCCTTTCCATTCTTTCTTTCCTTCTGTCATGGGGCTTGAACTCAGGGGGCTGGGTGCTGTCCCAGCTGAGTGCTATCCCTGAGTTTTTTTGGGTAAGGCATGTTGTGCACTAGCTCTACCACTTTGAATCACAGCTCCAGTTCCAGATTTTTTGGGTGCTTACTTTGATATGAGTCTCACTGACTTTCTTGCTCGAGCTGGCTTAGAACTGCAACCCTCAGATCTCAGCCTCCTGAGTAGCTAAGATTAAAGCATGAGCCACCAATCCCAGCATGCCAACTCCTTTGGATAGGATCTTTGAAAGTTGCCTTGGCTGGTCATCCATCTGCTTCGACACTCTCTTGCTTCAGCCTCCAAAGGTCTTACAGGTGTGCAACACCACAACTAACTCTTTGTTACTTATATAAAAATTTTGTTTATTTTTCACTTTAAATGTAGATATGTATTCTAAATATAGACATACTTAATGTGATTATTTCATGTTTACATAGAATTGTAACCTAGAAAAGTGAGGGGCATCATCAAAAAAATCCTATATAGAACAAGGTAAAATCTGATAAAGTGGCTTATATTTATCAAACATACTTAGGAATTAAAATAATTTCTTCCTACTAGAAACCTTTGATCAGAAAATGAAATATCACTATGATTATATGCACAACATTAACACAGCTAGGCATAAGCTTAATGCGATGCATCCAATAAAGAATACAATAAAATTCATTGAAGGGCATAAAATTTGCAGATAGTAGTACGACATGTTACTTTTGGGCATGGAAAGATGACAATTATTCCCAAATTAATACATTAAAAATTTCAATTGAAATGAAAATACTTGATAATAGTGAATTACCTGGCAGAGAAATTTTGAAAAACAAAAGCCCTGATATTGAATGAGGAACAATAATGAGAATAATGAGTGGATGTGTGTGTGTGTGTGTGTGTGTGTGTGTGTGTATGATCAAATAGTAAAACATGCAATAACACTTCAGCAATTTTGGCCAGGTGCTATTGGCTCACACTTGTTAGCCTAGCTACTCTGGAGGGTGAGATCTGAAGATTGTGTTTTAAAACTAGCTCCAGCAGGAAAGTCTGTGAGATTCTTATTTTGGAAAATTGGAATTAGCGCTGTGGCTCAAAGTGATATATCACTAACCTTGAGCAAAAAAGCTCAGGGACAGCACCTAGGTCCTGAGATCAAGCCCCATGACCAACAAAATAAATAATCAAATAAATAAATAAAATAAACCAGCAATTAAACAATGTAGTATTGTCATGGAAATAGAAAGGTATACCAGAGGATAGACTAAAGAAACAAGAATACAACCTGTACATACGGTCAAGTTTAATATGTGGTAGTAAAAATCATTACTAAGTAGAACAGAGCACATAAACAGAATCAAATACGAAAACAATCATACAATTATTTCAATGCATGTACAAAAAGGCTTTGAAAACAATTCCACCATCATTTCATGATAAAAATCCCCCCCAAGAAACTAGAAATAGGAAGACTATACCTTTACAAAATAGAGACTATATATAGTCAACTAACAGCTATTATACTGATGGGTGGAAACTAAAAAGTAGAAATGAGGTGTGTCTTTTTATTTCATACCTATTTTTTTTTTGGTGGGTCCAATCATGGGGCCTGAACTCTGGGCCTGGGCACTGTCCCTCAGCTCTTCAACTCAAGGCTAGTGCTCTGCCACTTGAGCCACAGCGCCACTTCCGGCTTTTTTCTTCTTGCTTATGTGGTGCTGAGGAATCGAACCCAGGGCCTCAGGCATGCAAGGCAAGAGCTCTACCACTGAGCCACCTTCCCATCCCCTATTTCATACTTATTTAATGCCATGCTTGAATTCTTTAGTCAAAGAAATAAAAGAAATGAAAGAAATAAAAATACAAATAGGAAACCAAGAAATCAAATTATCCCTATTTGCAGACAATATGATCCACTCTGGGTATCAATCCAATAGAACACAAACAAGGCTTCAGTAAAACCACCAGCACAACCATGTTCACTGCAACACTATTCACCATAGCTAAAATGTGGAATCAGCCTAGATGCTCCTCAATGGAAATGGATTGAGAAAATGTGGTATCTGTACATAATGGAATTTTACTCATCCATTACGAGTAATGTTATTGTACCAATCATAAGGAAATGGAAATATTTGGAAAGAATTATATTAAGTGAAGTAATCTAGACTCAGAGAAACAAAGCATACATGTTTTTTTTTTTTTCATTAGTGGCAGATAGAATGTGCCTATAAGTCTATAAGTAAACAGCCTGGGTGGTATGCAAGCAGTACCAAATAAATTGACTTAAGAATAATAGACACAATGGATAGCTCAAATACTATAATTTATTAGAAAGACTAAGTGAAAGCCCAACAAAGTAAGCTCCCAGAAATGGGTAGTGAGAGGGCAAGGGGAGAATGGTAGACAGTGGAGGAGAAGGGGAAAGAATATAGTTGTGAATTTATTGTATATACCACAAAATTAAGAAATGAAGGAAAGAGTCAGTTGAAAGGAGGGTAACCTAGATCAAGATTATTCATATATTGCTTTGCTATACAATTGCTCCCTTGTACAACCACATAAAGATAATTTCTTGAAAGCCAGAAATATTCTAGGCAGAAACTCTCCAAGTTCACAAATATTTATGAAAAGTAGAAACATATAAAATCAACATACAACAGTCAATTAAGAGAGGACGCTGGCCCCAGCCTACTGGAAAATTACTAATATAGGATGAAATATAGATTCATTACATACATCATGCCTTATATTTAGGCCATTCCAAAAACTCCATTTGTGACCCTTGCTTTGTGTATAAAGTCCTGTGGTTTCTTCCTGGAGCTAAACCCAGCATTGAACTCCAAGACAAGAGTCCTATGCTAGCTTTCTCTCAATCCTTCTGAGGGTGATAACTTGCCTCCATCCTTCACTATGTGATCAGAGGAAGAGGAACTGGAGTTAACTACTTGGATATCTGGCTGAAACTGTTGTAGACGCTCAGTCTTAGGTATTGGGCCTGCACTGGAAGTCACAAGGCTCTTTCCAGTATTGTGTTTCATGTCTACAGCCTGGACTTGTGACTTCTCCCTCTCCAAAGTAAATTAGTCTCTCTCCATGATGGATTTATTGGGGATAGGAGAATGATAATGTGAGTAACTCATTTCCAATTTCTTAATTTTTTTTTTTTACTGTTATATAAAACCAGGTATAAATGATCTATCATCTGATTTCTTAGTACTTGTGAAAGCAGTAAAGTCTATGTATAGTTATTCAAATTGCAACAACCAGGAAAATAATAGAAATTTGTATTCTTTTGCCTTTTTCTTCCTTCTCAGTAAAATAAAATAATAGTTATTCTAATCTGGATACTATTGGCTCATGCTTATAATCCTAGCTACTCAAGAGGCTGGAATCTGAGGATCATGGTTCAAAGCCAGTCTGAGCAGAAAAGTCCATAAGACTCTTACCTCTAATAAACTACTCAGAAAAAACCTAAAGTGGTGCTGTGGCTCAAGTGATAGAGCATTAGCCTTGAGAAAAAGGAGCTCAGCCACAGTGCCCAGATCCTTAGTTCAAGCTTCAGGACCAGCAACAAATAAAATAAATAATTGTATAAAACAATATTTACTGTAGTTACTATTCAATCATGGGATTATATCATGCAATTCTAACACAAACTTAAAACATTATGGTAGGAGATGTTGCAAAGGTCTCATTTTCATCAGTTACACTCAGCATTCCACATTCTGTACATAACAAGTGGATAGCTTTGATTGGCAAGAATTCTAGGCTTTGTCCAGAGTTCAAAGGGCAAGTTAGAACTGCCCAGGAATTTGTATTAACCTCAAGAGTATCCCACAACTCATGATTTGCAGTAGTTACTGGATATCTCAACTTCTTTCAATGACTATTGCAATGACTTGAATCGTGCCCTATGCTATTCCCCATAGTGTTGACTTCTAGTTGCTCCAAACAGTAAATTGACTCTTTTAAAGCAGAAAGTAGAATGATGGTTCCCACAGATGAAATAGACTGGGAATGGGGAAGTTGTATGATTTCAGTTTTGAGAGGTATAGTTTCTAATCACCAAAAAGAATACAGAAAGAATTAATAGTAAGACTGGCATGATATTTAGTGGTTTTGATTATATAAGTAGCAAAAATACAAATACACACTTCAAATTTATTTTATACTTTAAGGCATGCATAGGCAAAACAGCAACATTTGGTATATTTTTCTTAAAAATAGCTGCATTATGTGTTTCTAACGCATTTATAAGATTATTTCTTTGTTGCTTTGTATGTCCCTCCCCCACAGTGTAACCCCCGCTTTCACTATATTTGATGTCAGTATAACATGTGGAGGAGATGGGGACAAACAAGTCGTTTAAGGATTCAGGTGGACCTGTTGCAACAATGAGAAGTACAAAATGTCATGTCAAAACCAGCTTTACAATGTCGGTGGGGGGGGGGGGTGGGGGGGGTATGATTGGGTGGGAGGGAGGGGGGAGGCTGGGAAGGGAGGTGAAGGGTAAACAAAGGAGGAGGCTGCAATGCTTGGTAAGAAATGTATGCATTATCCTGCCCATGTAATTGTAACCCCTCTGTACAGTATGTTCTCAAATAAAATAAAATAAAATTAAAAAAAAGAAAAAAAATAGCTGCATTAAAATTATGCATACATATTTGCAAGCTATACTGTCACTTCAATAAATGTTTCATAAACAAAAATAAAAGGAAAGAAAATGGCTTACCTTTGCATTAAAGTATTATTATTAGTTTTAAGATGTGGTGCTCCTACTGTAACACCCAAACCGTATCCTAATATTTCTGAAGCATCACCAATACCTATCAAGTAAACATTAAACATAAAGACATGGGTAAACATGATAAAAATTAATTGATATAAATGGATTATTTCTGAAAGCTTTTCCTATATATTTCATATTAGTTTAAATTCTTCAGGGAAACATTCCAATAGGGGACACTATGTGTCTATATTGTAGGGACAAAGTGGGTAAGGAATTGAGGTAAAGAGAGAAGAGAGAAAGATTTGTTTTAAGATATTGGAATTGTTTTACAAAAGTATGGAACACAAAAAATTTCATGCTTGTAAAGTATGTCCCAGCAGGCTAAAATTTCAGTGTTCAAGCAGAACTACTTCTTGTTACGAAGACTTCAGTCTTTGTTGTTAGGGCTGTAAATTCACAGGCTGCAACTCACCCTGTATTATGAGAGTTAGATTGCTTTACTCAAAGTCTACTGACTGTAACTGTTTGAAACAATTTAAAATCATCTAATTGTAGGAACTTCTGCTAAAAATTGTCTAAGTGTCATAACCTAGACAAGATGCATATAAAATTAACCATCACACAATCAAGTAACAGAGAAACTTAATTTCTTCTATATAATTATACATATATGATGTGGGTGTGTGTCTGTGTGCCTGTATCTGTGTCTGTGTACCATTCCTGGGGCTTGAACTCAAGACCTGAACACTGTTCCTGATCTTTTTTTTTTTTTTGGGTCCGGTCGTCGGCCTGAACTGCGGACGGGGGCGCTGTCCCTCAGCTCTTCAGCTCAAGGCTAGTGCGCTACCACTTGAGCCACAGCGCCACTTCCGGCTTTTTTTTTCTGCTTATGTGGTGCTGAGGAATCAAACCCAGGGCCTCGTGCATGCAAGGCAAGCGCTCTACCACTGAGCCACCTTCCCAGCCCTGTTCCTGATCTTTTGAACTCAAGGCTAATGTTCTACCACACGAGCCACAACTCCATTTCTGGCTTTCTGCTAGTTGACTGGAGATCAGAATCTCACAGATTTTCCTGCCCAGGATGGCTTTGAACCACAATCCTCAGATCTCAGCCTCTTAGGTAGCTAGGATTACAGGCATGAGCCATTGAAACATGGCATATTTTAATAGAACAGGTCTATATTTAATATGAATATAAGTTCAATACACTATATTTCTATTACTAAGGCCCCACAGTAACATGATACTTTTGCGTCATCACTTCCATAACTTTCACTTTATCTGCCACAGTGGCAGGAGGTGGAAATTCAGTGTCCTTTCCCATATTATAAGGACATGTGATTTAATTGGCTTGCAATAGAATTGAAAGTCAAACAGAAATTTGCTACTGTTCTTGACCAACAACTACCAAATTATCATGAATATTTTTTTGTAAAAATGAATATAAAAATCAATATTCTCTATTTTGGCCTACTGACATGATTTTTCTTATCTTTGATGGAAAAGTGTATTATTCCAATACAAAGTACCTTAACAATAAATATATAAAAACAATTTTTCATTTAATAAATATAATTATTATAGAACCACTACAAATATATTGTACTATAAATGACCTATCAGTTGCAGAATACATTGCAGAAAAAATATATTATTCTGAAATGTAGCTATGCTTACTTATTATATGATGTTCTTGCATAAAATACTGTAGATAAGGAAACTCATGCCATGTTCAGTTTCAATTAAACACAGATCATTTGTCTCCTTGATAAAGTGAACTGCATTATGTTTTCAGTAAGCTTCAATATACTGAGTAATCCCAAAATCAAGTTAATGTATGTAAGCAGATTAGTGCAATGATAAATGCTCTATCATCACCCTGAATCTACTGATGAGGCATATAACAATAAACACAAGGGCTTGCAACCTCTATCTCCAGGTTTTAAAATATTACATTTCTGATTATTCAACCCAATAATTTTAAATTCCTTCTCCATTGGAGAAATTAATTTTAACCTATATAACTTGACATTAAGATAGATCAATCAATTGATTGATTGATAGATTGATATTCTCTACAACATAAAAAGTATGTGTTTTTCTATTGTTTTATGTATTTTCAATGCATGAAGAAGACTTGAATTCCAAATCCCAAGTCACTTCTCAGAACTTCTCAGAGTGATCTTTTAATTTATTTATGCTAATCATAAAAATTAGTATTTATAACAATGTCATCACAGAACCAATACTTAGCATTATTCTATCAGTTAAAAGGATACCATCAAAATTCAAAAGTTCACTGGACATCATGATATGCCTGTTTTCTCAGCTAAACAAGAGGCAAAAATAGGTGGTTCAAGGCCAGCCCAAGCAAAAGTTAGAGAAAGTCAATCCTGCAAAGAAGATAGGAATACCATTCAGGGATGAACCCAAAGGAGTAATGCTGCTGCCAATCTCAAAATACTATTTATCAAAACAAATTGAATGAAATGGAAACATGGTTCGTTGTTGTTGTTATTGGTCATGGTAGTAGTGGAGGTGTCACTTGTTTTTGCTTTTGTGGGTTCTGTTGTTGTTGTTGTTGTTGTTGTTGTTGTGTTTCATGTCTTTCCTGGGAGCACAGAGGCTCAGAAATGGATGGAAGAAGGGTGAACAAATGTAGTCAGGATAGTAGAGGAAACTTTATGGAAAATCAACTGTGAAACTTATAGGCACTGATGAGAGGGGGAAATGGGAAAAGCGAAGGAAAAGGTGGCATTGTCCAAAAAGAAATGTACTCATTACCTGATTCATTACCTTACAGTAATCCCTCTGCACATCACCTTGTAATACCAATAAAAATGTAAAATTAAATACAAAAGCAAATTGCAAAGTCCCAGATATTCAAATAAAATAGTTGAATCTTGATTTAAAAAAAAAGATAGACATGGTGGTGTATGATTTTGGTTCCTGCTACTGGGAGGCAAAAATTGGAGATCCTATCTGAAAAAACAAAAACAAAACAAACAAACCAAATAGAACTGGAGAATAACTCAAGAGGTAACATGCCCTGACTTCAATTCCTGGTATCTTTTTTTTTTTTTTTTTTTTGGTCAGTCATGAGGCCTGAACTCAGGGCCTGGGCGCTGTCCCTGATCAATTTTGATCGAGGCTAGCACTCTACCACGTTGAGCACAGCAGTACTTGTGGTGTTCTGGTGGTTAATTGGAGATGAGAGTCTCATGGACTTTCCTTTCCAAGCTGGCTTTAAATTGTGATCCTCAGATCTCAGCCTCCTGAGTAGCTAAGCAGAGCCACCAGCACCCAGCTCCTGGTATTTTCCATAAAAACTATGAAATCTCAGTGAAAATTCAAAATGACTTAATCATTAAAAAGAAGAAAAACTTGCCTAAATAGATGCCAGATGAGTAGGTAGAGACATTGTCGTCAAGAAGGGTCATCCCAAGGATATAAAGAGGCATTCCTGCAATTCCTTGAACCATCTGTCCAAGGATGAAGAAAACTAGATACTTGATTTGGAATATTGTTCCAGATCTTGGGCAAAAATTGATATTCTTGTTTTCCTGGCAAATATCTTTTGAAAAGATAACAATTAAAATTTTAATAGACTTAAACAGCTAAGCACACAATGAATATGTAGTCATTATCAAGTATTTTCTGTCTATAAGCTATAGCTACCATTCTGCTATTGTTTTTAGCTAATATTTAATTTGCATTGAATGTAGTCACATAATCAATCATCATATTCTCAGAAAAATGCCCTAATAAAAATATTTATGGCAACTCGGGAAGAGATAGTAATGCTATAAACCAAAAATAAATGTACATATATGTCTGTTTACATATATGTAGTATTTATGCAGCAGCATATCACACATATTTCTTTATACACACATATAACGTAAACTCATTTTCCTCTATTTTACATCATATTCTTCTAATTTTTAATCTAAAATAAATGTATTTCTAATTTCCTGCACTATCTGAATAATCAAAACTTACCTTCTGAATGTAGTTCTACATTTATTTTTTGCAATCTTTGTTTTAAATTTGTGCCTATTTTATTAATTTTTTTAAACTAACTTGCTTCTAACAAACAATGTTGTGATATGAAGTGTATGAAGTCCTCCACCTATAAAAAAGTTGCTTCTCAGCTATTGGCACTATTTTAGGAGATTCTGGAAATATGTCATTAAGGAGTTTCTTTAAAGAGGAAAGAAACGGAAAAAAGGAAGGAAGAAGAATATTCCAAATACAATAAGTAACATATCTAAGTAGAGGGGCAAAATGATAATTTCTGCATGGATAGTTTATTATTTTGTTATTTCTGCACCTCTAATATCAAGCACAGAGATACTAAGAGATACTGATTCTAAATAGGCTTTGTTAAAGGAACTGTATAGTGTGTTCATCTAATCACAGCATTCTATAAAGGACAGAAGGAACTATAATTCCCAAAAGGTTTACATTATATGAAAATTGATGAGATTTGATACAAATTATCATAGAATGTTATTTCTTCTCCTTGCTAGGGATCGCTCTCTCTCTTTCTCTTTCTCCTTTTCTCCCTTCCTTTCCTTCCTCCCTCCCTCTCTCTCTCCTTCCTTCCTTCTTTCTTTCTCTCCTTCTTTCTTCCTTTCTTTCTTTTTCTTTCTTTCTTTCTTTCTTGTTGGTTGTGGGGCTTGAACTGTGATCCTGGGCACTATCCCTGAGCTTTTCAGCTTAAGGCAAGCACTCAACCACTTGAGCCATATTGCCACGTCCGATTTTCTGGTGGTTAACTGGAAATGAGTCTCATAAACTTTCCTGCCCAGGCTGGTTTTGAACCATGATCCTCAGATTTCAGCCTCCTGATTTTTCAGTTTGTTTTGTTTTGTTTTTTGGTCTGCCATAGGGCTTGAACTCTGGGCCTGGGCACTGTCCCTCAGCTCTTCAGTTCAAGGCGAGCGCTCTACCACTTGAGCTACAGCGCCACTTCCAAAATGGAGTATTCAGTTTTTTGGGGGGGGGGGGGGCGGAGAGGGGGCGGAGGGGCGGCGGGAATCTCACTCCTGAGTAGCTAAGATTACAGGCGTGAGCCACTGGTACCTGGCTCACATGAAAATCTTACCTTCTTTTTCTAACATTGACCGATGAATTTTAGCATTGAAATATGGGACAGCAAATAGAAATGATCCAAAGCCTATTAGGACGGAGGAACATGCAATCCACCTTGCTCTGTTTCCCTTCCCTCCATAGTAAGCTATAAATAATGCTGCCAGGCATGAGGTAACATCATAAGTTAGTGTCAAGAACATTTTCTCCCATGTTCTCACTTCATATTCCTTGTGAAAATTGGCATTGCTGAGGTCTACAAGGCCAAACACAGTACCTAAAATGGAAACAGAAGAAACAAAAGCAATAATATCCCTTTTAAGAGACAAAATAGATCACCATTATCATATCAAAACAAATCCTAATTTATACTTACTTCAGTGCTTTTGTACATTATTCTGAACATTTAAAAACCTATAAACAAGTATGGATTTCACAATCATTTTCTGAGATTAACTTCTATGAAATACTTGCTACATGAACTCTGTGTGTGTGTGTGTGTGTGTGTGTGCTGAGTGTATGTGTGTGTAAGTGCTGATCCTGGCCCTTGAACTCAGGGTCTCAATGTTGTTTCAAATGGTTATAAAAACACAGCTGTATGTATAACTTCCTTTTCCCACTACTTTCACCTCTTCTACCAGTTGACACCAGATAACACAGTTTGTTATTTCAAAGCATATTTGGTATCTTAGAAAACAACATCCTGAATTTGTTGACTTTGACTCTTTCATAGAGTATTATGGTTTGTATAAGACAGAAAAGTCTTGTTGTTGAGATAAGTCAGTGAATACCATAAGCATGAACTGTACTTTTGTGCAACAAAGTGAGTTCTTCATTAGAAGAATGATGTATAAGATACTCATTTAATCCAATTATGGTACTGCTTGAAGAGCCCTGGAGTCAAGAACTCAGAGCAAAATAATATATATTTTGATGAGAACATAATACTCATACCCTAAAAGATATAGAACTATGTAATCAGTCTGCCTCTAGGTAGCTGACTGGGTACCACTAAAATAGGGTTGGCTTTTACTGTTCTGGTATAGCAAGGCAGGCCCCCAATGGAACAATGCCTATATCAGCAATGATACAAATAAGACCCTAAAATCAGCTCTGGTATGTCTTGCATTGTTGATGAAAATATCATAGTAACAGCCTAGTGAGCAGGAATAGAATAACTAGGTGCCAGATTCTTTTTCTGTCTGTTTCATTATTGACAGCTTCCTCCACAATCAATTTATTTTGCTGAACATTCACACAGGATAATTCTGTCTATTCAGAGAGATATATCATATGCGCAGCTACTCTACTCACATACTGGCTAACCTAGGAGGGAATGGTCATAATGGTACCCAGACAGTATGCTGGTTTGTTGTGCTGTTCCGAGTTTCAACTGAGATAATATTTACTTTCTCTAAGTATGATTCCAGACGTATCACAACAGCTTTGTTTTTGGAAAACCACAGAAGCCCATCAAAACTTATGTTCCTATATTAATAATGGGAAGTGCAAATAGGAAGCTTTTCATTCATTTTGGAATAAGTAGTTTTACATATTCCTAACTACTTAATCCCTAGAAAAATTACTGAAGTGGAAGAAAAGCTGCTATGTAAGATATTTTCCCCTAGGGCAGACTTCGTTATTAATCTGTGAAGGCCATATCTGATTCCAGTTATAAGTTAGGCAGCAATGAGGGACAGGGAGATGGGTGATGAGAGAACTCATCATCCCTTTAACTTAAGAGGAGCCAATTCAGTGTCTTCAAGCAAAAGCAGAGTGAAGCACTCTATAAATCTAAACTCTGGGAGAGTAATGGAGCATAAAGAATGAAGACAACCTCAGTGATAGAATGATCCTAACACAGGACAGACCCACAGGTGTTGCATGCTTTAAATTCATTGTCTGAAAGTGACTCCCAGTTTGTATAACAAGGCAGACAACAAAGATTCTTTTTAATTGTCAAGGTGATGTCTAGAGGGGTTACAGTCACCTAAGTAAAGTAATAAGTACATTTCTTGTCAAACTTGTTACTCCTTCCCTTATTTCTCTCCTACTTTCCCTCTCCAAGTTGTACAGATCATTTCCAACATATTGTCTTGTGTACGCACTCTTGCAGCAGTTTCCCCCTTGTCTTTGTCTTACCATTCTGTTGTTCCCCTTCTCTTCACTAATTCAAATAACCGTATATACAATACCAGGGTACCAAAGTCAAATGCAGTGACAATAGGAGAGATATCATAGGGGAAAGCAATACTAATCAGCTCCAAGACATGTACACAAGAGATTTTTCTGTGTTGTTGTTGTTGTTTTGTCGGTCGTGGGGCCTGAATTCTGGGCCTGGGTGCTGTCCCTCAGCTCTTCAGCTCAAGGCTAGCATTCTACCACTTGAGCCACACTTCCGGCGTTTTCTGTTTATGTGGTGCTGAGGAATCGAACCCAGGGCCTCATGCATGCAAGGCAAACACTCTACCACTGAGCCACCTTCCCAGCCCCAGTTGTTGTTGTTTTTAAAGAACCTTTTTTTTTTTTTTAAAGGATTCAACCCATTTTCACAGACCAAGTAAAAAAGATTAATTTGGAATTCAGAGGTAATACACTGATTTTAATACTGAAAGACAATAAATGGACAAATTGATTCATAAAAGAGTTTATAATTCTTCACAAACTTTTTCACAAAAAGCAAGGGATACAGATCCTAATTAATTAAATAATGCCACTGGTAACTGTTATAACACTGGTAATCTGTTATAACAGATAGACAAAATAATTACAAGACAACCAATATACCAATATTCTCATGGAAATAAAAATTATTAAAGCTTCCATAAACTTAATCCAGCAATGTATATTTTAAGAAAACATTAATCAAGTAATAAGGGTATTTCCTAAGAATCCAATGTTGATTAATACCCAAATTTAAAAGATCTGATTTGTAATTTAAAAGAATAAATTTTAAATCCTTTTATGATGATCTCAACAGTGTAGGAAAAGCACTTGATAACATTAAACATCTAATTGTAACAAAAATTCTTAGCAAGCTAACAAGTGAAGGGAATGTGCTCAAAATAAAACAGATATCTTTGGAAAAAATGCATATAGTTGATATATTTAACTATGAAAGGAAGTCTGAATGCTTCATCCACAATATGTTACTTCCTTTCAGAGTTCCACTATTTTAGTGGACATTCTATACATTACAATTAAGTAAAAAAGCCTTAGGACTAGAATAAAGAAGTAAAATGCTCTTTATAGATGACATGATCATATATGTATAAAACCTTAGTTTGTACTAATCCATTCATTTACCAAATTGCAGAAGGACTGGAGAATGTATCTCCCATTCAGTCATGCAAATACTCAGCATTTTAAAGTCAATTCTCTCTGGATTCATAGTTAACAAAATCACAAAATTGTAGGTTTATTCAAAATAAATGAACAAGTTGATTGAAAAAACATAAACACAAGGCAAAGGATCTAGACCAGTCAAAATGAGTTAAAGGAATAATAAATTCTAAAAGATACTGGATATATTAATTTTGTATTACTGTAACAAATGAAACGAAGAGAAGAAAGATGGAAAGAGAGAAGAGCTAAGCGTGGCATGAGTTTAGTCATAAGGAGATCTCAGATCCATGTTGAAGTCCAGCTTACAGAGTGAATGAACCATAATTTTTTTAAAGATTTACAAGGACTTAAGAAGTTGAGAAATCATAAATAAGTATTTCAGATTAAAGGAAGCTCCTACAGAATGTTAAAGGGTGAACTGAAATACATTGTATCTGTGAGTGAAAAATGGTAAAAGGAAACTGACGGAAAGCTGTTGAATAATTGAGAATAGTAGGGATGTGGAAAGAGGGTAAATGAGGAAGTTGTTCTAATTGCAGTACATGAATTTGTGAGATACCTCACTTTCCACTGTACTGTTTCCCCTTTGAACAATTGATAAATACTTTTAAAATGAGTGACAGGAATATAAAACATGTCCTATCTGGAGTGTTGGTATTAGTAGGAGGGCAAATGGAATATAGTCAAAATACCTATGTAAGTAGGTGAAAACGGAATGATAAAGCTGGTTGATATTGGATAGGGATGGGGGAGGGAGAATGGAAAGTATTAGAAAGAGTGAGGTGAGGCTGATCAAGGTACATTATATATGCATATATGGATATGTCAAAATGAAACTCTCCTGTACTTCTTTTTTATTTTTTAAATTAATTAATTAATTTTTTATTGTGAAAATACCGTACAGAGGGGTTACAATTACATGAGCAAGATAATGAGTGCATTTCTTATCAAGCATTGTTGCCCCCTCCTTACTTTAGTTATTATAATTTTTTTCAAGTCTTTCCATTTCCTTAGGAATGGGGCAATGCCATTCTTTCTAACAAAGCATGGAATTTCATTGTGTATATATACCACTATTTTTGATCCACTGAGGGGCATCTCGGTTGATTCTGTACCTTGGCTATGGTAAGTAATGCTACAATGAATCTAGCTATGCTGGTAGCTTTACTGTGGCCTTGTTTGTGTTCTATTGGGTAAATAGAAGGCCCATAGAATGGGAGAAGATTTTTATTAACTATGCATCAGACAAGTGTGTTATATCTCAAGTATCCTTAGAGCTCAACAAATTATACCCACCAAAAATAAAGTCTCAAAGAAACAATAACCCATTAATAAATGGGCTAAAATCTTAGAGACTTCTCAGAAGTTGGTATGACCAGTAGAGATACATGAAGAAATGTTCAACATCTTATGCCATAACAAAATGCAGATTGAAACAACATTGAGATTTCACCTCACCCCAGTTAGAATACTCATTATGAAGAAAACAAATAACATATGCTGTTGGGGATGTGGCCTAAAGGGAACACTACCACACTGTTGTAAACTTGTCCAATGGAGGTTTCTCAAAAGACTAAACCTAGAGTTGCCCTATGACCCAGCAATATTTTGACATGGCACTTTAGAAGGAAAGGAGATCAGGTTATGCAAATTCCAGTCATGATGTAAAGAAACTAATAAACAACTTACATCTAGTTGAACATAGCTAGGACCATACTCCCCCTAAAGGCTTTCAAATCCACAATCTACAAATATGGTGATCAAAAACAAACACCTTTGAGTTTTAAGTCTCACCCTGCTCCCTCAATTTTCACAGGCAAGCAAACAAAATCCAGATAGAAAGTAGCATTTCTAAATGTCCTCAAATGGGCAGAACCAGAAAGAACCTCGTGCTCTAACACTTTGTTTACAATTTTATTTTAATCTCCTGTGGCTTCAAACCAAAATGTAAACTTTGGTAACCAAACAACATTAAAGAACCTTACACCACCAAAATTTGCTGGCTTTCTAGAGGCTGGAGCTCATCATTCACTATCTGTAGGGTGCACCGTGTTAGTGAGGCCCTTGTGAAAGTAAGACAAGTAAGACACAAAGTAAAAGAACAAGTCTGAAAAGAACTGCCTCAATCTGGGCTCCTGAAAGGCGCTTCCTCCCCACCTCCCACCATTTTTCCTCCTTCTTCTATGCATCATTAAAGCAAACCCTACGGTCCATTTCACTACTCCCTTCCCAAGAACAATCCCAACCCTGAGACTTACCTTGAGCTAGCACCAGGATGCAGTAGAGAACCAGGAAGCTGTAAACGTTGTTAAACTGCTGGCAACAGGGGATTACTATACAGGCCAAGCCACAGGTATCCTCAATAACCTGCTCTTTTTCTTCTGTCCCTACAGGCTGGCTCTCAGCGAGTTCAGTCTCAGCTTGTTTCTTTTTCTGGAGCCTGCTAAACTTCATCATGACTGCTGGAATCACTGTGAGATACAGGGGATTCAAGGCTTTGTCTGAGGCCTTTTCTTCAGTGGTTATGACACTCTGGGTTCTTATAGACCGCTCATCCCAAGATAAGGCATTGGGCGAAGGCTCGCCTTCCTGGGGTACAAGACTCAGCTTTTTCATAGGCCAGCCCTCCTGGGCTGGAGCAGTCAACTTCATAGTCCGGGCTTGCATGACTAGGGCACTCAAAGTTTTTGGAGCTGAGGGTGGCTTGGCCTCAGATCGCCCTTCAAGTAAGGCTTGCTTCATGATTGTGCCTCCTCTTTCCTTCTTCCAGGTGCTTTGCGGAGATTTGGCTCACCCTGGGTAAGTTGATCCTGTGTGTCCAGGGGCCTGGATAGCTAATACCCCTGCAAAAACCCACTGGGTGTGGCGAGCCTGGGCCCTGCAGCCTGAACCAGCAGACGGAACGTTTCTCCTTTGTTCTGGGGCAGGAGACAAACGTCTCTGCAGAGGGGTTGACAGTTGCCCTGAGAGAACTTTCAGGACTGTTTATATTCTTCGTTTTCATGTGAGGAAAGGGGTGAGGAAAGCTGGACCGGACTGATTTCGATAAGTACTTGTTTTTTGGGTTTTTTTGATAAGTACTTGTATGGACAGGAAGTGCTTTGAGTGTAATGCTATTAAAATTCAAAGCATTCCAGCATTTATTTAATGCCTACTCCTTAGAAAACAAGGAAAGAGAAATGCTCAAAAGTGATAACGTTTCTCCACACTCGTTTGATTGCGGTGTCTTTCTAACTGGAAGATAAACTAAAATTTGTTGTAGGACCAGAAGATGTAGAATGATACATCCAGAACAATGGAAGCTTTGGAAGTACAGAAGAAATCAGAAAATAATGTATTGAATGTCCAGTTAGGAAAAAGATTTGCAAGTAGAAATTGTGGTCCTGCAACTTCTTTCCTCACTCAAGAACAGAGAGGATTATTATTCCTTTGGCAGAATGAAATCTGAGAATGTTTTTAGTACATAGAGCAAAAGCACCTGAAAAGGAACATCAGCTTCTTGTTGTAAAAATAAATTCTTAAAAAAACTTAGAAGAGAATTTAAGAAAACAATAATGATACATATTAAAAGCTTTCTATAGTATCATACAGTTGGGAAATTCTAAAAATTGTCTCAATAAGCACACTCAGTTTTAAGAGAATATAGATTAGGTAACCAAATAAAATTTGGAAATAATATATCGTAATATAAGAGGTTCAGCAAGGAAGTAGAATTTGTTAATTCAGAAAAAAATAATAGAGCTAAAGAATGCAGTATCTAAACTTAAAAACACTAATAACATCTACAGCTGAATTAATGAGAAGAAAAGCAAATTTAAAGACAGAATACTGAAATTATCTAGGCTGAAAAATAAAAGAATAGGAGAAAGAAGAGTAAGAAATATTATGGGACTTATGGGATACCTTCTAGAAAGCCAATATATGAAGTATGTGTATACATCAGTAAGTTTAGTAATAAACGTATATCTGTGAAAGTGTGACCACTATAAGAAATATGCTTATATCTATCTCTCACTATTTCCTCCTGTTCTTATTCTTATTACCATTATTATTGTTTTGTTATTGCTATTATTGTGTACATAGTGAGAATACTTAGCATAAGACCTTCAGTCTTGAAATTTTTTAAGAATATAGTTTTCTTTTTTTTGGGGGGGTGGTGTCTGATTGTGAGGCCTGAACTCTGGGCCTGGGCGCTGTCCCTCAGCTCTTCAGCTCAAGGCTAGCGCTCTACCACTTGAGCCACAGTGCCACTTCCAGCATTTTTTCTTATGTGGTGCTGAGGAATCGAACCCAGGGCCTCAGGCATGCAAGGCAAGCGCTCCACCACTGAGCCACCTTCCCAGCCCCATTTTTTAAGAATATAATAAAGTTATTGAGTATAATTACCATCTCTGTACATTAGATTTCAGAACTTATTTATTTCTTAGAAATGAAACCTGAATATTTTACCTATGTCCCCTTATTTCCCCTAACATCAGTTTCTGGGAACTTATCATTTCAGTCTCTGTTTTTTGTTTGTTTGTTTGTTTGTTTTAATGAGTTCTACCTTTCAGAATCCAGATAAAAATGAGATAGTGCAGTATTGTGATTTCTGCATCTGGTTTATCTTATTCAACATGTCATCCAAGTTCACCTATGTGGTCACAAGTGGGAGGATTTCCTTCTATTTTTAAAGGTTTAAGAATAAGTCTTAAAATAATGATGAAGATATTGTTTTTACATTTTGCCTATAGTGAATATGCAGCAATAAGTATAGAAATTCACATACATCTTTGATATATACTGATTTTATATCCTTCATATATATATATTCAGAAGGAGTACATTTAGATATCTAATTATTCTACTTTTTAATTGTTAAGGAAACTGCATACTATTTTTCATAATCATTATACCAACTACCAAACCCATCAATAGTATCCCTTTCACACAAATATAGTGTAATATTTTTCTAGTGCCATAAAAATGACAAGAAACAAATGAAGATGATTTCAATAAGGTATTTTATTTAATCTAATGTACCCAAAATATCATTTCAATATGAAATCAATGTTTTCTTAAAAAAAAAAACCCACTTGTTCATGGAGATATTTTAATCCCCTTCCTTACACACACACACACACACACACACACACACACACACACACATACACTGATTTAGTTGGTAGTCTTAGAGCATCTCATTTAGAACTAGCCATATTTCATGTTTTCAGTAGCCACATGTGGCCAGTGAATGCCACAATGGAGCATTCAATTATAGTTCTAAAATGTAAAACGGTTACTTTAGCTGGGCACTGGTGGCTCACATGTAATTCTAGCTACTCAGGAGACTGAGACTGAGGATTGCAAATTAAAATCTAGCTCAAGCAGAAAAGTCTGTGAGACTCTTCTCTTCAATAAACTACCTCTAGCCCAGAAAAAATAAAGCTAGAAGGGAGCTTTGACTCAAGTGGTAGATCACTAGCCATGAGCAAAAAAAAGCTCAGGAACAAAACTCAGACCCTGAGTCAAGCCCCCGTACCAGTGTCAAACAACAAACAAAAACAATAAAAAAAGTTACGTTAGGGCCATAATTTGCTTAAATCACAAAATTATCAATAACAATTAATTACCCAACTGAAGCTTCATTTTGTTTTGCTATAATGTTTTTACAAAAATTTTGTCTTGAAAGCCAAACTAAATGGCTTAATTGTTGTTTTTAACTATAGTACTTATTCAGGTAGAGTTAAGTTTAATCATGCAGTTTTTATAACAAAAGAAAGGAAGCCTCTATCCAACCACAAGAATTGTACAATTGTTTACAATTATTTCTCATTAATACTTATTATACATTATTAAAAAATATATAATAGATAGTTTCTTGCTTTGAATATTTAACACTAGTGAAAATCACATGTATAAATTCCATGGTATAAATTCACTATAATTTATTTAATCAGTTCCATATTAGTGACTTTTAGGTTGGTTACATTTTTTGACTCGGCTTACTTTTCCTAATTTGATTTTCTTTTTGTTTTTTAAGTTATTTAAGATTATAAGTCTAATATACACATATACAAATACATACACACATACATATATATTTATGTTCATATATATTTTACTACAAGAAAGCAAAGAAGTAGCATTTTTCACATAGTGATAGGATAGACTTTGAACCCAGCTCATTGTTATAGTTACTAATAATTTTCAGTCTTCACACATCTGACTCTTTGTAAAATGAAAGTAATAACCCATTTGAGATCAGTGTGATTGTGAGAAGCAAAACTTTCCAAGTGTCTAGCTCTACTACTAGCACATAGTAAACATACTTACATAAACAATTATTTTTTCAATTTTTTTAAAAAAGCAATTCCATTTTAAAAAACTACCATGTGTGGAGGGGGGACCAATATGGCGACGGGGCAGTAGGGAAACGCCACAGCTCTCTTCAACCAAAAAGAGAGTTCGAGTTCCAACGTTTAATCTCCCTAAGAGACCGACAACAACAAAAAGACGAACACTCAGAGAAAAACCAGAGGTGGAAAATAACAAAAAAAGAAAGAGAGGAAAAGAAGAAATTCAGAACAGAGAAGAGCGAAGACCCCTCCCCCAACCTTTACTGGCCGCGCGGCAGTGCGCCAAGCCGCCGGCCAGCCGGCCCGGCGGGGGCTGCTGGAGCCACAGAGACACAGGGGGCCGCTTGCAGATCACCAGGTACCAGATTGCAGAACAGCGGATCGCCAGGAACAGAGAAACCTACCAGCCGGGAGTCTCCACGAGGATCCCACCCCCACCCCTCACTCTCCACCGGAGCGGAGAGGCTCCATCCGGCCAAAGCCGCCCGGCACCAGCAGCGCGACAAAGGGACCTGTCGGCAGACCACCCGCCCAATCGTGATCGCAACTACCTGGCGGGGGGCCGCCCAACCCAGCCCGCAACCACCCCAACTGAACTCGGACTGCAACAACAACTGACGACCTACAGGGTGAGTACCCAACAGGGGACAGGGAATCCATCAAGGGAGACCAGAGCTGGAGGGAATCCCCAGACCCTGACCTAGACTCCCTACCCCAACACCCAGACCACAGGACCCACTAAAACTGGGAACTGTTCGAGAGCTCCACCAGCCGGTGGAGCACACTCTGCTGACCAGGCCAGAGCAAGAGCGCCCCTGGAAGGGAGCTTAAATGCCCAAGCCAAGAACAGCGCCCCTGGGTCAAGACTACCAACAGTAGAAGAAATTTGAACTGTGTCCTCCAGGCTGCATAACCTAGGTGGTATACACATTAGCACAGGCCTAACGAGCGCGCTCCAGGCTGGGGCCGGAACCAGGCCCGGGGACCGGCGCCTGAACAAAGCAAAAAGGGTCAGAAGTGGGGCTGTAGCTCAAATGGTAGGGTGCCAGCCTTGAGATGAAGAGCTGAGGGACAGCACCCAAACCTAGAGTTCAAGCCCACAACCAGCCCAAAACAAACAAAAACACATCAGGAGCCCATAGCAGACTCCAGTATTTGGGAGAGTGCATCCAGAGCATCTGATCTTCCCAAGAGCACTCGCAGGAGCAAACACAAGCAGTCTAGGCTGCTCAACCCTTCCAAAGGCGGGAATTGCTACAGCAGAGAGCTGAGAATCCTAAGTAAGTCAGAATAGCAGCTGGAAATAGGCTCCCAACAGAATCCAGATCAGGCACAGACTCTCTCTACCAATACAGAATCAGCAACCAAGCAAAGACAGACACACCAAAACAAGATTGAAGAGCA